CCCCCTCCTCTCTCGCGAGGCCCTCCGCGACACTCCCCTGGGGTGTAGGCCCGTTTGTCATGTGCGCATTCGTCATAGGCCAACTGGTAATAGGCCCGTTCGTCACAGCGGAACATTCGTCATAGGGGAATTTGTCACTAGGAACGTTTGTCACTGTGCGAACCGGATATTTGAATTTGTCCAACATATATTCACCTGGCTGTGCAAGCAATAAAGATTAGTACGGTATATTTAATTTTACTAAAGAGAGGGAACATTCAAACAAGTCATCGTTGTACTTAGAAAACAACAGATTTATTGAGCGAAATAAAAAAAATAAATAAAAATTGATATTCCGAGCTGCCACCCTCAGGGTTTCTAGACGATTGCGACCATTGTAGCGGCTCACAATGATTTGAAGATGCCGTTTGCTGTCGTCGTGCTTCTTGGACACCGTCGAAGATGTCGTGCCGCCCTCCGCTTGAGCCAGCTTCATCTCTGTTAAGGATAAAAAGAAAAAAGAACACACACACTCGTGGAGAAAGCTTTTTGAGTGGGCACCGTACTGAAATTTTGAGCCACAAATGCAAAAATGTACTACAGAAAGCGTCCAAGTTCTCAGAGGATTGGGTCAGTTCTTACGTGCAGTCCCCGGAGCCACGCTTGGATGCTCTTGTTCGTCCTTGTTGGCCTTTCTGCTAGTGTTGATTCTCTGACTGACCAAACCAGAGGAGGGGAGGTGGCCGACGACAAGCCGTTTCGACGGGGTCTCCCGATATACACGTCCTCGAAGTAGTCCGCCACGAGTAAGGCATCGGTGGGGAAAACCTCGAGAAGTTCCTTGAAGGCCTCGGGAATGTCGGCGATTGGCAAGAAGGCCAATGCTGGATGCATTCCCATTTGAAAATCAACAAGAAATAAAGTAACCAATTGGCTTACCTGAAGACAACAATAAGACGTATAAATAGAATGCCGCATACCAGAACAGCCAACTCGTCATCTGAATTGTTTGAACTGAAAAAAAAACCTGTATCGCTGATGGCCGCTATCTTGAAGTCCGTGTAAGCCACCTCAAGGCAGTTGGCCCCCCATGTGGCTCAGAACGACGTCGAAAAACCTTAAAACGAGCGAACATATTTTGAAGTGTTTCAACACATATCCTATAATAGGACCACCGAGCTCTTGAATGCTCACCTTTTGTAGGTGGCTACAGATTTGTTGGGCAGCAAGCAGTAAACCATTGGCTTTACCACGCCGTTGACTGTGGCATGCTCCGTGTACAGTTAGTAGAACTGTGCCGGGGTCACTTTCAAGGTCCCGTCCGCGAACCACGTAGTCGCGTGAGCCAGACAGCTCAAGTTGAGCTCGGTAGCAAAGATCAGGATTCTTTCGCCGTCGCCCTCTCCGCTATCGTGGAGGAGAAAGGAGTCTCCTTTGGCAGTGATCTGCATTCAGGTAAAACAGTCATTATTATCATAATATGTCGCGCACTCTGATTCTGCGCTGCAATACACTTTACTTTGAAATCTGTGGGCATTCGATCGTATGTCGGCTCTGCAAGATGATACGCTGTACTCGAAATTCGGCCGCTGCCTTTGCTTGCGGATGGTGCGCCGGAGTGTTGGCGGTGCGGGAATCTGCAAAGCAGTGTCGTCACGGACACAGGCAACCGCAGCCAGAAGCATTTGGTGTGCTGATAGACGGCCTTCCACTGGAATAAAGGACATTAATGACCTTTTTTCGGGAATACAAGAGCAGGAATAGATTTTGGTACGTACCAGCTTTTTCCTTCATCTCATGACGAACCCAAGCACGTTTATCTTGGTGTTGTCAAATGCATGCGTATGGTCTCCTGAATAAGAGATTACACGAGTCTTGGCGTGATCGGTGACTATTTTAGTTTTACAAACTCCTCTTCGCCGGCAGGCAGGCCCAATACAACGTAGTTTCGAAAACCTCAATGAATGTCCTTCGTGAAGAAGCATATCGCCACCTCTCTTAGTAGTAACTACCTCCATTTAGAAATCGAGATTCGTGATATTTTTTGTAATCGGAGGGCAACCGTCATAATAAGCCCTGAAACAGGGCACAAAAAAAAAAAAAAAAGAATCGCGTTCGGTGGTTTTTTTTTCTATTGTGAACTTTATGTTCTCGAAGGTCTTTTGTAAGGAAGGTGACCCCGATAAGACAACATGCAGGCTAAACGCTGCATGCTGCCTTAACTTGGGGTCATTGGGACATGCTTTTGTTTCCCGTAGTCAGCCTCACTGGCCTTGTACGGATTTAATTAAGTGGACCCCTTTCGTAACTTTCCTCAGAAAACAAGATAGAAAAAAAAAAAACGTTTAACAATCTTGAAGTCGTTGTGTGACGAACTGCCAGCGTGACGAATCACCCTATGACCAATGTTCCGCTGTGACGAACGGGCCTGTTACCAGTTGCCCTATGACGAATCGACATGTGACGAATGGGCCGTATCCCACTCCCCTGAGCCCTGCACCCGGGGGGGTCCACCGTCCGCACCCCTCCCCTTGTGACGCCACTGCAGATATACTACTACTACTAATAATAATAGTAATAAAAATAATAATAATTAGTTTTACATTGAAGTGTAGTATGGTGTAGTGGTGTGCGGGGCTAGGCAGAAAGGTCATAAGGTCACTGTTTTTGTGTAATGATATAATTGTTTTGATTCGTTTTGTACATTTTGCTGCTGGACTGTACAGGGGGACGGGCCCTCGTCAGGCGACCATAGTCGCCTTTTGCCCTATCCACCAAGACGTTTGTCTGAATAAAGTATATTCAATTAAATTCAATAAGTTCTGCAAATCGCCTGCACGGGGTGAACCCGATGGCATGGCGTACCAACGGGGGGGGCAAGGCATGTGTTTTGCCCCCCCCCCCCCCTCCCTCCTGAAACAGCCGCCACTGGGCAGGGCAAACACTGGCCGGCGGCGCCCAAGGAATTGGGCAGGAGATCGAACTATAGGGGGCGCTCTGACCCGTTTGTTTTCCCCACGCTCGGTGTTTACTCAACACAAGGCCTGTACACATGCCAACAGGCCTTATGGGCATGGCCATGTCATCTTCTACAATAGAGCGCGGGGCACAGTTTAATGTAAAAAATACTAACAATCGACGAAGCGACGTTAAGTGCCGGATCTATCTTCTGAGAATGCGAGCTTGACCCACTTCGGCTTTTGTGCTAAGCTGGGATCGTGCATGCTGCATTGTTCATGCAGGCCGTCGTGGAAACAAAAGAGCCCCTCCTCCCCCTCGCCGGAGAACACGAACTCCAGTCGAACGCTGACGCCGCGTTCGGTTATGTCAGCCGAGCGCTGCGTCATTGTATTTGTTGTCCCCATCCGTGTAGTTGTTAGGTTAACCGCTTGGGGCGTCACGGTCTGTCCTCCTCCCCAATACCAAGGGCACCGCCCCCCCCCCCCCCCCCCCCCACTCAAAAACAAGTTGGTACGCCACTGCCCGATGGCACTTTAAAGGGAAAGCATAAGTCGGTTTCTTAACGTACTGCAATACAGTTCATTACAGATGTGATCGGATATAGTGCATTTTCTGTATAAAACCTTTAAAAATAAATAAAACGAACTTCTTTTTTTTTTTTTTTTTGGACAACGAATATTAGCAAACGACAGTCTGCTGATTCGACAGATGACGGCAGTGGACCCCTCGCTGAAAGCACACTACCATTTTTATTAGCTTTCTGTCTATTTAATGTGCTTCATAATGGAAAAATCGTCCACTGACAACAAACACCGAAAAAGCTGACGCGGCTCGAGTCGAAAAAAAAAGATCGTCTGGGACTGCTGCCGCCATCTGTTGAGTGTGGCGCAAATCACACGCGCATCGTGCGTAGACAGGCGCCACTACAAGCGCCGCGTACGTGGAGAACAACCGTTATTATTTTACTCGTGCACATTCACTCTTTAAAAAATTTATACCTAAAATGCACCACACGGGCACCTCTCTAGTAAATCGTAACGCGATACGTTAAGAAAGTCATTTGTGCGGTCTCTTCTAAGGGACAACGCGCCATCGACTCGTCGGCAAGAGTTGGTTTGAATTTCTCGTATCGACGCCAACGCATTATAAGTCTCTACCGATCGCTGCCTTACTTAAAACCTTAGTTATTTTAGTTATATGGAGCAGTGGCACCTGTCACGGCAAGAGTTCTGGTAGGTTCTGGTCAGGATGGTGGTCATGACCCAGACAAGATGACCCTCGGGTCCAGGGGCGTAGCCAGAGAGAGAGGGGGGGAGGGGGCTATGAGGCTTAACACCCCCCTTCCCCCCACCCACCCACCCCAAATGCGGATTCTTGGGCTTAGTTCTTGGGCGAGTTGGTACTGAAACTTTGAGAACATAATAGCGCTTCAAGATAGCGACGAGAGTACGAACGAAGTCGAAGTTAGCACAATGTGTTGTCTCGTTCCTACTCTCCTTCCTGTCTTGAAGCGATATTATTGCTATTATGTTCTCCTATAATACATACGTGCATTTTGACCCCCCCCCCCCCCCCCCCCCCCTCTCTCTCTCCAAGTCATGGACATCCCCGCCACCTCAGACACCCCCCCTTTTCCGCTCCCCCGAAAAAGAAAATGACGCCACTGCTGGGGTCATTTAAAACCATATTCAAATCTGCCAGATGACCCAGATGACCCGAAGGTGACAGTGTCAGACTAGCTGACAACGCGTACACACACGACCGAATCAATCGATGCGCACCTCCCGGCTTTTCCAATCAATCGAATAATCGGCTTCAAACGCTTAAAATCTCGGAAAAGTGTTCATTTTGATCATAGCTGTCATTAGTCTTTGAATTTCAGAAGAAGAGATTCAAGCAGTAATCAGTTTAGCTTGTGTTTTATTCGTAATTCACTAACGTTTATCGAACCTAGAGATCAAACAAATATATCAGCTATTGAAGATATATAATGTTTAGAGTGGTCCATTATTGCAAAGCTTTAACGAGAATGCAAAACTCTCTTGGCAACAATGTACTCCGCAGTTTCTTTAAAAATGGCCGCTTGTTTGCGTGAGTCAGGGACGTTAGCGAAATTAATATGTTTTTTGCCTTAATTCTTGTTGTATATCTCACGTTTTGAGTTGTTCTAAATACGCAAGACGTTCTTATGAGGTACGTATAAGGGTCGAATCTCAGTTTAAAGCTCTCAACAGCTTAGTGATGTGCTGCAAGCATTGTAACCGATCGTCGCTAACTTCGAGGTCGCGCGGGCAAGTTTCTGGAGCAAGCTGTCTTTTTTTTTTTTTTCTTATTTTTATTTTGCGTGTGAGATTCTTGTACTTTGACTACACTTCCTCGTATTGTTCTGTGATTGTGCGTGTTTAGTAGCTTATTTTCCTGTTTTGTGTTCTGCGGAACGGTTTCGATTTATTGTTTTTAATTTCAGCTTGCCAAGCCGAGTCGGCCGCGTCAGGAAGTCCCGCGTTGAAAAAGACTCCGACGGAACACCCATGATTGGGAAAGATGCTGGTCACTTGTGAGGTTACCAAGAACGCACTGCCTACTTTCAGTGCGCTTCCAATCCACAATGAAACTGCGGGCCCGTTGGAAACGACGGCGAAGTCCGCTACTCCTGCCATGGCTGATCGCCCTGTGGACGTTTGCGGCTCCGCTGGGGGTAATAGGCAGCATGCATCGCTTTGATCCTATCTGCAACATCACTCATCCTGAGCAAACAGTACTCCTTCAATACTCTACATCAGTTGTGCGAAACGGTGCGTGCCTCTTGTCTTGTGGGCTTGTTCGCGCCCCGTGACCAGTCTTAACGGCGCTTGGTGTCATTTGTTTTCAGAGTACATCGTCACGTTTAAGCACTACTACCGAACAAACGCGCGCGACCAGTTCATCGCGGCAGCTCTCAAAGGATCTGGAATTGAAGCGTGGGAGCGCCTCCCACGTCAGAATGCAGCGGCCGATTTTCCCAGCGACTTCGAACTTGTTCGGGTGTGTTTTGGGGCTCTTGTTCAACATCTTCACACCACCTCTTTTTGTGTCGTGTGCTACCTTATGATGCAGGCCTCTCAAGTGTGCGGACTATGGGTCTCTGAAGCGCGAGGCTCTGAAGTTATAAAACTAGTGTGGTGGCACATGAAAAGTAATGAAACTGTTCTCATTCCTCTCAATGTGTCAACGTTCTCATTCCTCTCAACGTCACAATCACAGATGACATACTGGCTGTATACTTGCTCTTTCTTAAATTTCAAACTAATGCATTCCCATATGCGAGTGGAGCGCTTATTATTGTAAGCTTGTAATTATCCTTGTGGTTTTGTGAGCTCTGTGCTGCCTTTTTAGTTTACTGTGTCACAGCAGCAGTTGCATAACTGAAGTGAACTGAAGTTGGTTTATCAAATCACTGCACTTTAATTGTATGCAGGAGCATAGTTACATGATCCATTGTTGTTGGCACACATGTTAAAAACAAAAAAAATTTTTCAAGTTGAAGTGAAAAGTTCTTGACTGCTCTTCAGGTGGAGTGTGGAACTTGTTATATTCTTACAGTTTGGTGTGATTGGGGGGGATTTAATCAGCTCTAAAGTATTTCATTAGCTCCAATATTGTAGAGTGTATTGTGATATCTTTACAGGGGTGTCCAACATTTTTACTGGAAGTTTAATGTGCTGTAACACTGCTTTGACTATTGTGTTATTTTTTGTAGTTGTTTGAAGGAAGTGCCGAAGAAGGTCTTGCAGCCCTCAGGGACCATCCACTAGTAAAATATGTAACTCCTCAGCGGACAGTCACAAGAACGCTAAAGTTTCTTAATGGCAAGTATTTTCTGCTTGAGTCTTAGTTCAGTGCAAGTTCCCCTTGTGCTCTGTGCTTGTCAAAGCAAGGCTTGTGTGAAGTAGATCTCATAAGTCGGGAACAGAATACATGATCATGACGTCTGGTATGAAGGCCTGTCTTAGTGGAACATTTCCAGAGTCACTATCGCCGCAATAAAAAGCTTGAAAATTAAATTGGATTATCATCTGTGGAGCGAGAAAAACTGAGCACAAACCCCTGGGAACCGAGAAATTCTTGTTAATTGATAGTTTGAAAGAAAGAAGGACACCTTACCTCAAAAGTCTTTTTAGCTGCAGTTTTAAACTAACCTTGATCTCATTGTGATGCATTGGATAACGAAATATTTCTTTCCAACGTTCTGTTTTTGACTCCATCACAATCATGGTCTGGTTCTGTTAGAATAGAATCTGCATTATTTAATTTTAGTTGTCGCACATGTATTGTGAGCAAAGCTGCTGCGTGAAACCTAGCGAGCACTTGCAACAGAGAGAGCTATTCTATTATTTACAGTGTTTATATAGTAGTGCGGCATATTGTGCTCTTGACTCATTTTGTGCCTTAAACAAGGTTTGAGGCTATACTCCGTTTCACCTTACCTCTGACTGCAGCGGATGCTACGAGCCATCCTAGCTAATCCAGCTCTGGAAAAGTAGCACGTGATCACACTTTTCGCACGTCGTGGCACTTCTCGCATAGGGTTGCGGGAAACTCGCACGGCCTCAGATTGGCTCTGATGGATTGTAACATCCGATTGGCTCTGATGGATTGTAACATCCACTGCGGCAACCAGATGTAAGATGAAACGGAGTGTAGTCATTCTTTTCTAGATGTAGGAATGGCCTTTATCTCTAGCCGCAGCTGCACCTCTGAGCTGAAAACCTCTCATTTCAGTTTCGGAAGAGCCTCTCTGTGAGGATGTTTCTTGCTGGCACTCATCGCGTCCCTTCTCCACTCGCAACAGCCTTTCATGGGTAAGGTGCTTTGGATATTGCCTAACCTAACTCCAAAAAAAGAAATGGGTTCTTGTTTGAGAATCAAGTTGAGTAACACCTCTTGGCAGAGGTCTCATTGATAAATGTGCCTATATCATTCATCCCTGATGGTAAGAATCCCAGAATGACTCAAGCTTGCTCAACATTGAAGATAAAGTCAAATGTATCATGTTGGTTGTATTGATTTAATTGGTGTTGTGTTTTACACTGACAATGTAATATTAAAGTCCCTATATACACAGAAAAGTTATGTGATTCCCCTTTTCCATCCCATTTTCCCCTCTCCCGGCCTCTCTCTTCCTCGGCTGCACGCCACCATGTTCGAGCAAAGGCACCAACCAATCGCAGCATTACTTATGTTCCTGTGACGCAGTGATTGACCGGCTCCCCTTCCCCCTCTCCCGGCCTCTGTATCCCTCAGCTACATGTCGCCATGTTTGAGCGAAGGCACAAACGAGGAGGAAAATTTTGGCCTATTAATTGCATTACCTTTCCATATGCAGGGGCTTTACATAATATGACCATCAATTGCTGTGTATCCAAAACAACTTGGTTTCACCATTGAATGTTTCACCTAATAGACGTCTGGCTCTGAAACCCCCATGTAATTAGTCTTTATGAAACTGCATTGCGCAAATGCATCTTAGTAGGAACTTGTTTTGTTTTGCAATTATAGGGTAGTGCCTTCTGGCAGTCCTCGGAACGCCACCAGCAGCGTAAGCTGTTGCGTACCATCCCCAGGCAAATCACAAAAGCACTTCAGGCCGACGTTCTCTGGAACCTTGGCATTCGAGGTATATTCACCACTGTTTGCCCCCAATTATTTTAGCTTCGTGTAGCCGAATGGAGAATCATTGTAGTATATCTAAGTTCTATTATTTGTTGCTGTTCTGTCTTTTGCTAGGTGCCAATGTGAAGGTTGCCGTCTTTGACACGGGTCTGCCCAAGAATCATCCGCACTTCAAGAAGGTAAAAGAGCGTACCAACTGGACAAATGAGAAGACTCTTGACGATGGTACAGTTCCGCCTGTGTAATCTTTATAACCTTTTGTCAAAAGTGGCATTTGTGAATGAGTGGATTTTAGTGGGCTTGCTTGAACTGCAGGGCTGGGGCATGGCACCTTTGTGGCTGGAGTCATCGCTAGCAGCAGAGACTGCCTGGGGTTTGCTCCAGAGTCGGAGCTTCATGTTTATAGGGTTTTCACCAAAAACCAGGTAGCTTGTTGAATTTATGCATTAAGCTTCCGCCTCTAACTTGTGCAAGTGACTAGTGTGTACTGTCTGGCAGGGACATACCGTAGAATCCTCGGAGATGCCCACCCGCGTAAGATAGCCCACCCCTATTTTTGGCTTGATCTGCTATATTTTTTTCAAACTCTGAAAGATAGCCCAGCCCACTTTTAGTAATAGTAGTGTTCAGGGGCGGATGCAGGAATTTTTGAGGGGGGGGGGGGGGGGGGGGTCAGGTGTTGGTCAGCGTACCATCTGTTTAGGAACCCCCTCTCCCTCGTTTTACGCCCTAAATTTTACACATGCAGAAATCAAGCGGGGGGGGGTCAGGACATCCGGACCCCCCCTCTAAATCCGCCCCTGGTAGTGTTGGCATCAATGATGGCCTCGGCGTAAATGCGGCTAGTTAGCTGTGGCAGGATATAAGCAAGCGTTGCTGACTGGGAAGTACAGTCATCTTTGCTTCATTCCCCCTCGCCACCATAACAAGCTTGAAAGAGACACAACCTAATAATAGCAATTTATTTTACTTTTCTTGATTGTTAACCAAAAGTTATTCCACTCCATATTTTCACCCGATTTGCTCTTGATGTTAGGTGGGCTATCTCTTCGGATTTTACGGTAGGGTTTTGATTTTCTCAGTGGGGACCAGGTCTGGGATCATGAGTACTGAGGAGTGGTCATGGGGACAAGGAAAGAAAATACTAGTCTCAAGAGGAACCCCCATCCTGACAGGCAGAAAACTATGGTGTTTTGCGTGCACTGATTATAAGAGGCACGCAGGTTTTGCATGCATGTTCGTTTCCGAATTTTATAGAACCATAAGGAAATCTTTCTTTCATAATCCACGAGTACATTGCCGACGTTTAAATGTGCCTAATGTTAGTTTGAATGTTTCTTGTCGAATTACAAATTGTTGCTAAAGCAAAACTGTTTCAATGAACTGAAATTTTATGAAATGTCCCACATAAAATGCCTGCTCAGCTACTCACTGCATGATAAACTAGACAATGTACAGTTTTTATGGTTAGTTGGATCAGGAGAAGTTTGCTTGATCTGTTAGGGCGAGAGGCAATGCATGACTTGCAGGGCTTTGGGGCATATGGAATATTTACCTATGTTACTTGGCTAGCCCTACATTATCCCTGATCTTTATTGCTATCTTTGCTATATGTGAGATCTGAACCTTCACCATGCAAGGCTGCATATGCATACAGTTATCTTTCTTGACAGATGTCCTACACATCATGGTTTCTGGATGCCTTCAATTATGCCATTCTAAAAAAGATCAATGTGCTTAATCTGAGTATTGGAGGGCCTGACTTCATGGATCATCCATTTGTGGACAAGGTGAATCTTCTTCCTACAATCCTTTACTTATGTTATTTTTGTGACATTTGTATTTTGTAATATTTTATAGAGCAACCAATTCCTTTTTTATTAAAGACATTTCGGCTGTTTCCATTTAGGTTTGGGAGTTAACTGCCAATAACGTCATCATGATTTCTGCCATTGGAAATGATGGCCCTTTGTATGGGTAAGTACATGTGATCCTTCTGTTGGGCACGTGAAAGTTGGACCTGTTAACCGTTCCTCTTTTTTAGGACACTGAACAATCCTGGTGACCAGATGGATGTCATTGGTGTCGGTGGAATCGACTTCGAGGATCAAATTGCTCGCTTTTCATCACGAGGAATGACCACTTGGGTTAGTGGGTTTTTTCTTGTTAGATATTATGTAAACAGGATTATGATTTATTACTATACCCTTTTGCAGGTGAAGAAAAGCAGGACAAGCGCTTCCTGCAAAGCCCTCCACTCTCGCCATTTTGGCAGAACAAACACTGGAGAGAAGACGAGTCCCTCCTTGCCTCCTCTCCACTTTTTTTTCTGCTTAACTGGAAAGAGTGGAGGGCTTTGCAGCAGGGGCTCATCCTACAACAGGGTATAGTAATGAATGCAATGAAGCCTGCCTGACAATTAGCTTGACAGTGATGACTGGTTTTGGCATCTGCAGCAGTGTGCAGAAAATTAATTAGGCAAGACGTAATATGACGGGTCTGTACGTGTATGAAATCTGGAAATTTTGTGGTGTTGTAGGAGCTTCCAGGAGGCTATGGAAGATTGAAGCCTGATATTGTCACATACGGCTCTTCAGTCCGTGGGTCGGCTGTTTCGTAAGTGGTTGAATTATGTCTGATTTCTTGCTTGTTTTGACAAGCGTTTTGCTTGCTCTTTTCTGCGGGTGGTTTCCTTACTTGTCATGTTCTAATTGAATGAAGGCTGGAGGATAGTTGTTTTGCGCATGCATTCATTATTGCCTTGTGTTTCTATTCTCAAATTTTTAGGGCTTCTTAGGGTAGAAATGTTCCATGAAACTGAGGTACTATTTTTGAGACTGACACATTTGCCCAAACGGGGAGGAAGTCTTGTAACCAGCATTATTTTCTGTCGGTTCTCCAACAGAGGCTCCTGTAGATCACTCTCGGGAACAAGTGTTGCATCGCCAGTGGTTGCTGGGGCCGTCACTTTGCTGATGAGGTAAACAATACGTAACTCTTGCTTCATTTGTTTCTGCTCAGCAGTAAAGTAACTTATTAAGTTAAGATGGGCAAAATTAGGGGGCATCAGACTTTTGTGCTTTGTTGGTGTATAAATATATATTTATATGCCTCTATGGTGCAGTTGTGTCTTGTATACAACCCCTTATTCAGTTTTGCACAGTCCTGCCCTCTTTCATTTTGCCCTTTTTTGTCAAAAGATATTCATTCCCATTCAGTGGTGAATAAACTGCAGGCGTGTTTGTGTTGCCCATCTCTTCATTTTTGCCTGTTTCAAGGTCAGTATGTCTTCCAACCAGCTTGCCTGCATTCTTTCACTTGCACCTCTTTGGAAGCCAGGCTGCATCATTGCAGTTCTACCATGTTTTTGCCACTTTTCTCTTTTCAGCCAAGAATTTTAGGGATTTCTCTACATGTTCACGTAAATGTAAAAAAGTACTGTGCCCCTAAACTTCATAGTGACGTGTGTATTGCTTTGTTTTTGACAAAAGTGCGCTATACTATAATCATTGTTAAGGTCAGGATGGCAGAGAGGAGCTTCAGTTGTCCTGCTTCCAGCACGGGCTTTTTACCTTCGATAACGCTTCGGCATCTCTGGCACCTCAAGCATGCGCATGCAGCCAAAGCACAGCAGCAGGCATGGGGTGCGTGCTGGAGGCCGGGTGTTTGAAAAACATGGCCTGTCGTTCTCATTCTGTCCAGTGACTGTAGTGACTATGATTTTAGTACCCGGTCAATTATGATGGCACATTCCTAATCTCAGACTTTGGGAATGTGACTGGGCTTAGCCAGCAACTGAATAATGACCGATCCACCGGCGAACACTCAGTGTGTTGGTGATCGCGTAAACACTGAGCAACGATTTACGAAAATCCAGTCTATCTGTGCTGGTGAATAATGAAAGCCAAGCACTGCGCAATACGCTTCCGTTAACCATCGCCAAATATGAACTCGTTATAAAGAGCCCGCAGCATAGGTTTGTAGTTATGTCTCGTAAAAATTGCCTAGGACACTCTTCTGACCCCTGAACGATGCACTTGTATCCACAGTGGTGCTCTGCATTTGGGAGGAGCCCTGAATCCAGCCAGCGTGAAGCAAGCCCTGATGGCATCGGCTGGGCGCCTTCGAGGGTTCCCAATGTTCGAGCAGGGCTGGGGGAAACTCCAGCTTGTGGGAGCCTACAAGGCCCTGGCTAACTACAAGCCACAGGCTACGCTGAGCCCCAGTTACCTGGACCTGAGTGAATGCCCCTACATGTGGCCCTACTGCACACAGCCGCTCTACCACAGCTCCCTGCCGGTGATCGCCAACATCACCATTCTCAACGGCATGGGCGTGTCAGGACGCATTGTCTCAAAGGTGAGGACGGGCACAGGGAGAAGGAGGGGCAGCCACGGGGATGCAATCACAGCATGACTATAGTTGGTGACAGGTCATGAATCCAGGGCGAGGGAAAGGAAGGCTGGAGAGGAGGAAGGAGGCAGAATGCTGGAGATAGGGGGATGTTTCCTCCTCTCCAGCATTCTATCTGCTCCCTCCTCCCCAGCCCTCCTTCACCTTGCCCTGGGTTCTTGACCTGTCACCGACTATTAGCCCCGAGAGCGAACACAAGCGTCGCTGCGGTCGCCGCGCCCGGATTGGTTGAGGTGTACTGTGACGTCAGGGGGAGTACTCTGCTCCGCGATCTCGCATCGGCTCGCTTCCCAGCACCGGTTTCCTGGTTTGGCGTTGTGTGCCGCAAGCTCTTCGAGAAGCTGGACTTCGTTTACGTGGTGTGCAAGACGTTGGGTCAGGCCGATATTGACGTGCTTCCGTTCATTTTATAAGCCTGCTTGTCCCTTTTACCTTTAAAATTGGGTTACAAATCTCGAAAGCTTTCGGCGGATGCAATTCCGCCGATGAACCTCCCCGTCCGTCCACACACGACACAAGGCAATCTTGCGAGGGGTCGTTGAAGCGGTGGCGCAAGTGTTTCAGACGTTGGAATTCTGTTCCTTGCACGTTCATGATTTAAGGCAATCTTACATCCCGCTTTCAAGGCCTTTGAAGTGGCATTTATATCATGGGCCTTTGGGTGGTTGGCAAATTAGCTCGCGACCCTGACTCTGCGCTGCCACTCTGCATGCGCTGGTTCGCAGATGTTTTAAAGGCCCTGAGTCTGATGATCTCGAAAGTGCTCGTGGAACAGGGTTGTTTTACATAAATGTAGCTTCTTCGTGAATTAATTATATAGTTTATACACGTATGCAGGCATATTTCTTAGAAGCTGCACAATTATTGGAAATTAGTTTGTATGGTAGCAGCAAAAACGGCCGAATTGCCCCCAGTTGTCTGTATGATATGTATTGAACTGCCAAACTATGCACGGCAATAGTGCCGTAATATGGAATGTTTATACTTTTTCCTGGCATTCTTTATTCCAGCCTTGGGTATTCCGAAAATACACCGTTTAGTCGTAATTGTCATTTCCAATTAAAAGAGAAACTGCTGCAGGTCCCCAAAAGCTTCCTCAGCCTCCAAACTCCCCACAGCTGGACTCTCTGACAACAGAGGAAAACAGGAGTAAAAGTAAGCATTCGAACGTCTGTCCAGTGGTAGATGCAGCACTAAAGCAGCAGAAAATGTGGAACCTGTGAAGGGCGACAGTCTGCGTGAGAAAAGCTTCTGGTATTTTAGCTTCAGGACAATCGATTTAAGTAAAATCTCAATTTTAGGGCTTAAGGGGCTAATAACGAGCTAGATACCTTCGCTTACGTTTGTTATACATTACTTGAGGGATGATATAAACAAGTCCAGACACCACCCGTGTAGTCCATTGAAATACTATCCGAATCCAGCAGAGGTCAAATGCAAGCAATGTATATAATAAATGTTCCTTGTTTTTTTTTTTTGTTTTTTTTTTTTACTTTGCCCCTGCACTTGGGCTGTCGTACTTGTGATTCTCTCTTCATGGCCCAGACTGTATTTAACATGTTGCTCGAGCAGCATGCAGCTTTCCTGCTTCGGCGATCTTGTTTAAAAACAGAGGTACAAGAAAATATACGTAACCTGCAAATTCATTCAGACCATCAGCAGCATTTATTGTGCGAGATGTAAATCTATAGTGATGCTCCTGCAATTGTGGCCATATGTCTTTATTTTCATATACCAGCTGTGATTCATGCGTTGCCTGCCCTGTCAACCATGCTTAAAATGTTGGTTGAAGTTTCGTATGTAGCAACAGGACATACCTCAATAAAGGCACATATAAAAATTTACACTTCCTACGAAAAACACGGCAAAAAAAAATTAAATAGAAACGAGCGCGCCATCAGCTAGCGTCGTCACAGCCTCCACAGGGCGAGCGGGCCGAGTCGGGGAAAAATTCTCTCCTCGCCGTGACGTCACCCCGGTTCGCCGCAAGGGGGCGCCACGCGAACTTCTCGGGGCTAATAGACACTTTCAGACAGCTGTACATGGACTCCGCTATAACCGACCTCCAGTTTTGTTTCCTCCTTATTCCGCTCGCTTCACTTCATCATTACCACAGCCGTACAGGTTATTGCTGCTTTAGGTGCTACTGCGTCCTTCTCCCCAGCATACGCCTTTGGGGAGGCTCAACAATGCCCGCGTCAGTGGCTCAGCATTTCGGTGAGACAAGAGAAGGTCGACAATAGCAGCTCAATCTAGCGCATGTTTAAAGCGTCTACTATAGTGCTGTGGCAAAAATGTTAACTTCCACTTGGAAAGAAGTTATTTAATTTTTTGATAAGAGTAAAGCTATATGCACTCCGGAGTGCACTTCGGACATAAATGGCTATACGCACTCCGCTAAACTCGTATAAATTAAATGGTCACGAGTTTTCTGAGCGATGGCATAGCATAGCATAGGGGTTAAGGTGTCCGCTTTATACCCAAGTGGATGCAGGTTCGATCCACGGTGGGCCTACTTTTTTTTCTTTTTTTTTTCTCGAACATTTTGTTTTGTCGAGGCAATTGACGATATTCACGACATTTTTCTTTTGCGATGAACACTAAGAAAAACCTAATGTTGTCGACGGAACTTCGCAGAACCAAATGGTATGGGACTCCTTTTCCGGAGGTGCGATCGGGGACAGCGGGGCTTGGGTTGCCGGCTGGACGCCGCGAAGCGGCGTGTACTGGTTAAGTTTTGTAATTAGCAGTCGCATACTGTCGCCGCGAAGCGGCGTGAATGCAGGCGGGGGGCTGTGTGAACGAGCTCCCCAGTGATACACGAGCCGTTCGAAAAGGCTGGCCCGAGCGGCATGAGCTCTCCGCGGAGTTCGTATAGCCATTTCTGTCCGAAGTGCACTCCGGAGTGCGTATAGCTTTACTCTTTTGATAATTGCATTTTACTATGTTCAAGTAAGGCATTATGGGACCACAACCATCCTCATGGGAACAACTCCGAAAAGACTACCAATGAACCTAATGAGGAACTAACATATTTCTTTTAAATATTTTACCTTATTCACTTATCGCACAAAGTTGTGGTGAGAGGATGTCACTAAGGTGCCTTCCAGGTTGTTCCAGTCAGCTATACAAAGTTGAAGGGAAGCGAATTTGTAAGCGTTGGTCTCTGAAAACAGAGGTTGGATAATGTGTTGAAAGGATACCATCAGTGGTGTAGTAACGGGGGGCACCGGGGGCCCTGGGCCCCGGGTAGCAGGCGTCCCAGTCGTGGGGGGGTGCCACCTCTGACGGCACCCGGCACCCCCCTTCCTGCTTTACTAGTTGCAATCTTAGAGTGGGGGGGGGGGGGTTGCGAAAGACTTAAGGGCTCCAGGTGCCAGATGGCCTAGCTACGCCGCTACGCCACTAGAATGCCTCAAGTAAGAGTGTGTTCAACTGCTCGCCCGGGGTGACGTGTTTATGGGCGCCATTAAATTGCAAAATTTTGCTCTGTGGTTTTTCAACATAACTCCGGTTATAAACAGCCCTGGAGATGCTTGAATATTTGACGCGAAGAGTAAAATAACACTTTTCTTGAGACACCAATTTTGTTCTGACAGGACAAGTATTTTTTGGACGTGAAAAAGGGTATAATAGTCCATCTCTAATGTCGCCACTAAGTTGCAAACACCCTCCATGGTTTGAGGTGAACACACTCTTACTTGAGGCTCTCTACGCCACTGGATGCTATCTATACTTATTGCTGAGTTCTTTTCTTTCTGTGCATTCCATTTTGGTGTTTGAACCAAGTTAGCTAGGCCACAAACAGTTTCCTAGTGGTGTTAGTGCAAGGACATTAGTTGTCTGCTTGAGTGCAAACATTTTGTGTGGATACTTAGACACAAGCCCTGCCTCTCATTGCAGCCCGAATGGCATCCCTACCTTCCTGAAAATGGACATTTCTTGGATCTGGCATTTGGGTTCCCTGAAGTCCTCTGGCCCTGGTCTGGATTCCTGTCAATCCACTTCTCGGTGAGAGCCGAGGCCGCCCAGTGGGAGGGCGTGGCCCAGGGACACGTGTCCCTCACTGTGGAATCGCCCCCAGGGGTGAGTTCACTACCTGCACAACATGCCCAATGGATGCTGCAGGATGACCCTTGAGGGTGTTTGATTTGTTTTGGTTATATTCGAATGCAGGAAAACGAGATAGAACCTCGAAGGTCCCATCTGAAGTTACCAATTAAGGCAAAGATCATCCCGACACCACCTCGCAGGTCAGTTTCTATTTGCAGAATCTTGTAAAGTGTTTTAGGGGAATGGAGAGCAAAAGGGTGGAAAGTTGGTAGTGATTTATGATTTATTTCTTTTTTCTTATCGAAGTGGGTTGTGCACGGCCGATCTGGGGGGGTGGAGTGTTCTTTGTGTTTTCTTTATCTACTATACTCCGCGACAACTTTTCTTGACATTTCCAAGGAGAGGAGAGCCTGCATACAGCTTTATTCAGCGCTCAAAATGGGAGAGGGAACGCGTGCCTGCACCTTCCGCTGCATTGCCAAGAAAAGTTGTCACGGAGTATAGGTCACAATAAATAAATCAGTTGCGAGTAAGCGCTAGTCTGTGGTGTGTGTTTCTCCCTTGTTGCCCTTTTTTCTTGTGCACTTTAATCTTCACCAGGAAGGGAGAGGGTCAGATGTTGAAAGAGTTCTTGGGCCTATTTGGAGGTTTTGGCGGGTTTGGTGTGTCTTTTGCACTACCCTTTGTGCTCGAGGTAGTGGAATTAAAAGGTTTCTTTGCATGACTCGAGTTATTATTGCTTGCACTGCTTTATGTTAGTTTATGTTGGTTCAAGGCTGCAGGTGGCATGGAGGAGTTCTTTTGTTCACTTTGTTACCCTTGGCTTGCAGCAAACGTATCCTGTGGGATCAGTACCATAACCTTCGCTACCCTCCGGGCTACTTTCCAAGGGATAATTTGAAGATGACGACCGATCCCCTGGACTGGTAATAATAGCGCTACATTCTTTTGCATGCCCATTCAGATAAATTTCACTGCAACTATTGCCATTTTGTAATGGTTGCCGGCTCCATTCCCAGCTTCTTAGCACTTGCTGTTTCGTCCTTGCCAGTGAACTTTGTCTGGAGTTTTATCAAATGTGCCTCAAGGTCAAATTATCTGAAACTCGGATGTATGTTTTCAGGAGCGGGGACCACATTCACACAAACTTCAAGGACATGTACCAACACTTGCGGAACCATGGCTACTATATAGAAGTCCTCGGTCAGATTTTGGAGATTGTTCCCCTCGGTCTTCCAAAAGTGTTGTTGCTGCCTATTTGTTCAGGTGTTGCAAAACTGAAATCGAAACTACCTTAATTACCGTTCTAATGGTTGAGACAGTGGTATATTGGAAACAATCAGATCAATCCAATGTAAAAAAAGGAGTTTTCTAAAGTTGGATAGAGTTAAAATGCTGGCACTTTCCAGACTTTAAATATGCCTAAATTGGTATAAGTGATTTTGCAGTTTGTACCCTTTCCTTTCATATCCTAATGTTTGTATGTTTGTTCGAGCAAGAAATAAAAGATGGTGCCTGCCGCTTTTATTTTAGTAAATCTGGCTTTTGTCTAAAAATACAGAGAGAGATGCTTTATGTAAATAATGGTTTCACCTAATTATTTTTTATATTTTTTTTTAGGGTTCCCATTTACCTGTTTTAATGCCCAAAACTATGGTGAGTTGATTGAATCCGTGCCATAATTCACTTCTTTCGAAGCAAACAAGGCGTAGCTGCAGATTCTTACAGATTCTTTATTGTTTCCCTTCAGGAACACTGCTGCTGGTTGATGCTGAAGAGGAATACTTTCCTGAGGAACTCTCCAAGTTGCGTCGTGATGTCGAGTCTGGCCTGTCATTGATTGTGTTTGCCGACTGGTACAATGTCTCTGTGATGCGCAAAATCAAGTTCTATGATGAAAACACACATCAGTGGTGGATGCCCGATACGGGAGGTGCCAATGTGCCTGCCCTCAACGACTTGCTTTCTTCATGGAACATTGGCCTTGGGGACAATGTCTACGAGGGTGAATTTACCCTTGGTGACCACGGAAGTAAGATGGCTTTCTCGGGTCATTGGGGGGGGGTTGATTTCGGAAATAGTATTTCGGCTGCTGATTTCATATTTAGTGTTGCAACCAAATAACCGATTGATTCCGTAGTTGTAGACTAGCTTTTCTGTTTGCTTTACAATTTGCATTTTGTGCTTGTCATTTCTACATCATGTCTAGTTCTCAACATGCAGTCAGCAATTTAGCAAATACCTTTTTATAGAAATAACAGAAAAAGTGCAGGTGAGAACTTTTAACATCGCGGAAACCTGAGACCGGGGAACAAAACGGGAGACAACGCTCATGAAGGACACGTTTGTGTGCGAGTAGTCCCCATTTTGTTCCTTGGTCTCAAGAAGGGGGGAGGAGGGGGAGGGGAGTTTCCACAATGTTGGAGCAATTTATATTCTTGGTTTTTATGCATTTCTGAAAGCTGGAAAGTTACGAGATATTTTAAGCTTCTAATTTATTAGATTAAAGAAAGATCTGTTTGCTCTTCTGCGTATGTTGTTTCCCAAGCATTTCATTTCTTTTTCTTTCTAACAGTGTACTATGCCTCCGGAAGCAGCATAATGCGGTTTCCAGAAAATGGGCTGCTCGTTCGGAAGGCACTCAATAATCAAGGTCAGAAGCCTGCAATTTATTGCTATCCTTTGCTCTTGTTCAATGTGACCTTGGGACAAAACTTATGCAAGTCCTGGTGCTCAGGTCTGGAAGTACTCAACGACAAGGTGGAACGTGTTGAAGGAGTGGCCATCCTGGGATTGCTCCAGACCGGAAATTCAAAATCTTCTGGACGAATCGCCGTTTATGGAGACTCCAACTGCATTGACACTGCTCACATGCAGAAAGGTCTTCTTTTCTTATTTATCTCCTATTCCTACCATGGCATGCAAAAACTAGAGATAGAGAGTCCTGGTTTGAAACCTTAGAGGGATATCTTCAAGTTCTGTGCAAATTTGGTGATGGGTGTGTAAGCGTAGAGTTTCAAAACATACAAAATGCTTTAAACCACACCCATCAACAGTTAAAAGTGGAGAGAGGCAGAGTGTGACCATACATTTACAAATGACCTCGCTTCCTTTTGTTCGATTGAAGTGTGCATTGACTTGCTTTTCTAATTATTTCAAATGAGATTTCTTGCTCCTGTGGTGCTGTGCAGAATGCTACTGGCTGCTCCATGCCTTGGTGCAGTATTCGACAACAGGACTGATAGCGCCTTTCTTCGAAAGCTCCAGCTCGCTACCAGCTTCCAATGGGTCTCTTCTGCCAAAACGCATGGAAGGTGGGCTCAAATTCTATGGCATCTCCTTTTGTAGGTCTCCACTGTGTGTCTTCAGGTTGCTATGAGCCTGCACCTGAAACTATTAACATGCAACAAGATGTGTGCAAGGTCTCTTCGTTGACTTTCTCACTGCCATCCTGCAAGACTGAAACTCGCAGAACTGTTATCGCAGCACACTACACAACTTGTTTCGGTGTGAGCAGAGGTGCCAGTACTTTTCGGGAGTCGAGGGGGGGGGGGTATTTTTTTCCCCCTTCCCCTTTATTATTTACCTCAATTTTTGCTAAATGTTGGGGGGGGCAGCGAGGCGCAGTCGCCTCTCTCACCCCCCGTTCCGACTCCACTGTGTGCGAGCTGTTCTCATAAACAGCGAGTTTGTAATTGCTCTGAGCAAGCAGGGTAATGCCCAGCAAGATTTGTTTTAATTTTTGTTGAAGTAATAATTTGGAGTGTCCAGCACATGCAATATAGGAAAACAGACGTGCAAGGAATTGCTGTTTGTTGGTCATCCCGGGAATATTTTCAGATAAAAACGTAAAAACCGAGTTTACTAGAAAATACTTCCTTTTATTCATCTCACTTGTGCATGCACTCTGCAGCCATGTTGACTGTGACAACTGGTACCTAGTATTTACCATCTTGGGGTGAATGTGACACTGACCACGACTTGTTTCTGGTTCGGGATGACTCGGGGGAACGGTTGGGCTCACTTGGTCATGGCAGTCTGTCCTGTTCTGACATTGTTTCGTTTTGTAAATTACCTTCTGTCCATTTTCTCCATGTCCGCACACCGAAGAGTCGACTCACACGGGGGCTTCGCTAAATGTAGACGCACTCAGAAGTACAGTTTAAAAGATGGCAAACGCTTTTTATATCACTCAGTAGAAACTTCTAGCCACTTTTTTTTATTATTCAATATTTTATTCCAAATAAGATTTTTGCACTGTTATAGTTTATTTTTCTTTGAATTGATAATTGTTTTACACTTCTTCCTGAATTTTGCTGTAAAAGCCATTCTGGGAGGTGTAAAAGTGCTGAAGTAATTATTTATGCTCCAGGAAATCGACTGCACCGTTACTCAAAGGTCCTCCAGAACAGGCCCGGAGTACCGGAGCTGCGAGCATTACCTCCCTGCCCGGCTCTCAATTGGGCAGTGCCGCTGCCCCTCAACCAGTCTGCACCCAGGTGCTGCACTGCTTCTTTCCCATAACGTGGCAAAACACTGCACCTCATTGGTTTATTGAGCAGTTTCTCTCTCTCTCAATTATTCCCTGCTACCATTACGAATATATAAACGGTTTCTCTTTTTATTAGGTGTTAACATTCCAGAGCCTACCTTGCGTAGCAAATGGATGCTTTTAAGCACTTGGTTCTCTTGGAGCAACTCTTTGAAAGTTCTTTAGATATATATTCACTCGTGGCTACTGCTGCATCTTCCTCAGAAGGGTGTCTAAATTCATAGCTTGTAGGTAATTAGGGAAAAATGGCTTGGGCACCGGAACACGGCGTCTTTTGCCCTGGAGCAGTGGTTCTCAACCATTGATGTTTCGCGGACCCCTTTTAGATCGGCGGAGATGATGGAGGAGACCTTTTGTGGTGAGGTGAAGGCGATGATATAGGTTAGTTGGTATATAATGATTTAATAAATGGATATAAATAAGGGTTGTGTGTAGTAGGCTTCTCTCATTGACATACACACGAAAAAACTCGATCGAAAATTGGAACGTTTCTTCTCAATCTGAAAAAGATAAAACTTTTATTGCCAGGAAGCAGGGCTTCGTGGACCCCTAGGACGCTGCCGCGGACCCTAGAGAGTCCGCAAACCACCATTTGAGAATCACTGCCCTGGAGCATATTTTCCACTAATACATACAGAGTAGGAATGGGGTGGATGTTCCTATCTCGTCACTCTTTAAATGTTAGCCATATAGTTATCTCTGTACACACATTTTTCCAAACATTGAGCAAGCTTATTCGCATATGGTATATTTTTTTACATAACGACCACGTGACTTACGTCACTTAAATGTTTCTTTGAGCGCCTGTAAATAGCTAGCCATGCGTAGACAGAAAAGAGCCACCTATCGGACATCTGACAGTAAATCAATGGGCCTAAATGCATATTGACGCATTTGATTCAATCACGGTCGGCAAGACACCACTACTGCATGTCATACAGTCGCCCTGGTCTGCATCCCAAATCTTGCCAATCAAGCGCCATTCCTCCTAATCACTGCTTTACTCTGCGATGGACTTGAACATTGTCTTCCTCTTCTCCAGCAGCACCCTGTGGAAGTCGCAGAAACTGCTGTCCATTGAGCAGCTCCCCCTGGGTGTGGGAGGGGGCGGCATCCCTGACACGGCGGACGACCTGCCCATGCCATCCCTGAAGCAGCGCTGGGGCGGCTGGGCTCTGCCGCACGACCAAGACGATGCCGACGCTGGCAGCCAGGAAGCAGTGAGCATCTCAGAGTACTTTTCCTCCCTGCAGCGCCGCTTGGCCAACCTGTCCCGGCGTACCATGGTGGCCTTGGTGGCTCTGCTGTCTGCGGCCGTGCTCTGGTTGCTCTATCGTAGATTTTTTTCGAGGGCTAGGGTGCGGAGATCGGGGCGCAAGGGCAGGGCACGCCGGAGGATTTTGTCCCTGCCTGTCGGCAAACTGCTTCGTGGAGTGTGAATGCTTGTACCGCCAGAAGTGCAAGGGGGTGACGACCCCTTCTGTTGCAACCAAATACTACTTTGTCTGCAGGACGTTACCAGAGGAACTACACACTTGCCCCCAATTTGCCTTGTTTTGTTTGGGAATGTCATGTCCTTGGCTCTGCTTGGAGTCTGCAGCAGCATGCCTAAGCTGAGTGGAGTTGACTGACGGCATGGGTGGCACTGGTAAGAGCAGTGAAAGGGCGTATCGCTGTCGATCAACCCGGTGACAAAGCCATTGCTATCACTGTGAGAGAAGGGATGTTTGAGAAGTGATTTCGCGGCAACCTGTGCAACACCCCTCAAGCAGGCTGGTTTCGCTACTGCAGATACATGTGTGGTTTCTCTTCACTGTCAGCTGTTGTTCGAAGCTAGAAAGTTTCTGTACCTTGATATCTGCACTGTTTCCAGTTGCTCTTTCCACTTTTTAACAACTAATGGAACTTTCTGCGTGCCTTTTTTTGAGGGTCGACACCCAGTTGGTAACAAGTGATGGATGTCATGTCAGTATGTTAACCCTCGCAGATGGTTTGGAGCTAGGGAAGCATTAAATAAGGTACAGGATTATTTGGCAGTTTGCCTGCACCCTCACACTTGTAGTATTTGCCCTGTTACAACATGGCCAACCAGTTATAGATAGGAGAGTAAACTCCAATTTCATGTGTACAAGTGATGACCTTTGAGCCAATACATGCCACTATATGTACCACAAAAATGTTATAGAGAATACCTGAACTTGTGAAGCTTGCATTTACCTTGTATAGCTTTACTTGTTGTTGGAGTATTTCAGCAGAAAACTGATTTTGAATAACTTAAAGGTGCACTGGAGACGTTCCTGAGATTGCCTGTTCTTGCTGATAACTCATTCTACGGGATCTCAGCATCCCAGAAATCAAAAAATTATGCTCGATCGAAGTTAGTGTTAGCCCCTTTCCGAGTGGAAAAATCTGGAGCACAGAATTCAGCGGAGGTGCCAGCGGCGTGACGACAGGCATGCGTCACGCGCACCCGTTGTCACGCCACTGAATTCTGTGCTCCAGATTTTTCCGCTCAGAAAGAAATGTGGCACGAACTTCGATCACATTTTTAATGGGGAAGTAGATGTCACACGAGCATAATTTTTCGATTTCTGGGATGCTAAGATCCCATAGAATGAGTTATCACCAAGAACAGACTATCTGCACCTTTAAGGATCAAATAGACTGCTACAAAATGCTCCTTTTGTTAGTTCTTGAGAATGCTCGCAACTACAGTACCCTCTGAACATGACTTACAAACTATATGAAACTATCATGGTTTGTAGACCTTTCTTTGTTTAGAAGTCTGCTGATGTGTCTTACACCTTTAAATTGTTAGTTGAAAAAAGTAAATGGTGTTGCCAAAATTTTTGAATTTGGGGCTTTTGCCCATCTCATAGCACTTTTGGCAGCTTTTTGAGGTTTTGTACCCCTGTGCTCTTTGCTTGCTTATGCCAGCACATATTAGTCCTCCACCTATATTGGCAGTGTTTTGTAATAAGGAATGTTTTAGAGTCAAATAGATTTGTCTTTTTAATCTTGTGAACTTTTACCTTTTCCTGCAGTTTTACTGCGAAAGGTAACGTGGCAAATGAGAACCCATGTTTGTCCAGCTCTGACAACAGCTCATTTGAAAGTCTTTATTTAATGGAACATGGTTCACAAAGCAATGCTATCTACTTCAAATTCATTATTTAGTCTCTCCCTAAAGGAGAAAAAAGATAGTCTTCCTAAAGATTGACAGGATAGCGTGAACTCCTTGACACCAGAGCATGTTTGGTTTAAGAGCAGGTTTGCATTTCTACATTCTTGATGCCATACAAAGAAGCAATTTGTCAAGCTTATACAATGATGTGAAGGTGTGGCGATTTGGTGCACATCCGAAATGCATTTTTCACTATGGCACTATGCCTATCCCAATATGCCAACAACTCCTGCAATTGTTGGTGTGCACTTGGAAACAGTTCTTTATTGCATTCAAATAAGCGACTGCAATGGTCTCACTGCTTATTCATTGTCCAAAGTACATGATGTCCGAGACAATCGTGCAACTTAGAAATCCTTGCTGACGGTGGTCACTGAAAAAGAAGTCCCCGTTTCCACTAGCCAGTTTTTTTACTAGCAATGTAGTAATTTTTGGACGTTAGTACCATATTCTATGTTGAACACTATCTGCTTGCCTGAATTAATTTGCATAAGAGTAATTCTGCAAGTGAAGCCGAAATATTTTTGCTGAATGTTCATTGTACCAGAATAGCGATGTGACAAAGTGCCTCAAATAGGTATCCTGCGATTCCAGAACTAGAAAATCTGTGTCATTTGTACATGGCTGAAAAACTTAACACACAAGATTTAAAAAAAAAAAAAATGGAAATGTGTGTCTGTGCATTCGCCGAAGGAGCAAGTGCTGCTGTTTAAGAAGTTCCTCGCCATTGACGAAAGGTTTCGTCCAATCTGCTTCCACACTCGACAACTAACCATCCTGCAAGACTAACAGACTTCTTTGGATGGTGACGGGGTGTCGGCTTGAATTTCATAATCGCGCATGACATTAGACGTCAACGTCATGCGCAGGTCTCTTTGGAAGAGGTTGACATGAACGATGCCCTGTTGGGGGCAGAAGACTCCCAGGACTGTGAAGGTACAAAAGACACTCTTTCATACTGTCAACCAGAACACAGCAGCTTTCGAAGGATTCCGGATCAGCAAAACCACCAAGACCCAGCCGATGAAGACTCTGTTCATCATGTCCACGTCGAAGTTCATGTCAGTGTTGATTTGCGTCATCCACGGGATGAACTGTGACCGTACAATGCAATTTTATTTATCACTATTGTAGGACATAATGTTGAGTTTGTACTTTTCCTTCGAGTGGAAGTGCACTGGTTGGGAAATAAACTTTTTATTGCTTTCTTATACATCTTATTCTGCTCCAGCTCAGTGAGATGGCATTTCGCAGAACTGAGAAGCAGCCATGATTTTCTTTTGTCAACTTTGTTTCATGTGGAGCAGCATTGTTTCACAATACGCTCAAGCAGGCCAAATTCTCAGAAAGCAGTAGCATCCACAACACTGGGTTATCTTGTTTACCCATTCATTTGGACTGTCGGTTACCCTGCAAAGTCTTGCGTAAAGGAGGAAGAAAACCACAAAAGTCACATTTCCATAAAGCATTTGGTGTAAAGCAACCAAAGAGATTTGTCAACTTTATTATTGACGTGTGTGTCCCATTTCACCAATTGCAATCAGGTACAGGTATACCTTGCGTATCACATTGAAGCCAATCTTTTTTCTTCACCTGATAGTCAACTTTATTTTGTTTCCCCACTTTCAAGATGATAGCTCTATCACTTGTGGAAGTTTGCTTGATTGCAGTTGGTGTAAAAAGGGACATCCACATTTGCATGAGAAGACAACCTAATACTGTACATGTCAATAACAAAATGTCACAACTCTGTGTAAAACTCAAAAGGGAAAAAAAAAAAAAGGAAGCTTGCTCAGCACTGTGAACAACACTCGAGCCTGTAAGCTCTCAGCAGCTCGGGTTTTTCTGCACAAGAAACTTAGCCCTTTTCAGCAAACAGCTTTGAAACTTTGAAGAATGTCACAATTGCTGAAAATAGATCACAGGGGGGGTTGAGAACAAAAAACAATAAATAACCTTTCTCACTGTACAAAAACAAATCTGCTAACAAAGTATCCAGTTTAAGTATTCAACCTGTCGCGGCTGGACCGGTCAGTGCACAAACAAACCACACATACCATTTCCTGTCTCCTGGACTGGTAATTTACTTTCGTGTTCAGACATTGCACAAGTCCAATGAAAGAGAGAGGTGAAAACTCAGCAACCACTAGACTACTCCATTTACAACATATTTACAAGGGAACTAGCACATCACACACTCTACGGTCTCCCACTCTCCCATGCAGTTCCTTAGGCCTGCAGCACCTACCCTGGCATCTAGCATCTCTGCCTTTTTGCGCTGATTGGTGTTGCCTTCGATTGATTTTACGTGCCGAAGAACTAAGAGTTATGTTGCGGCCATGAAGGGCCATACAAAGGGTACACACATGGCCATATGGTGTGAGAAACAAAACAAATTCTCTGGTGATTTAAAAGCTAACAATAGAACTAGATTCGACAGTTTGTAGAATTATATAGGTGCATTTCCATACATACAGTACATCATTGTTTTCTCCAGTGGTCTTCAAATACTTCAAAATATGAAAAGGCACCCTTTACCTGTCTAAACTCTATAATGCAGCTTTCAGATGCGTGTGCATACATCTGGCAATATGTCATGACTGCGAGATCAACTTTCTCTCAATTTTTGTTGCATGTGTTCCAACAGATAGATGCACAACACTTATCAGAAATAATCTCTGTAAGCAGTATGGTGAAAGACTTGTGAGCTCATAAACTGATTGCAGACTACGAAGACATTGCTGAAAGTGAACGTCGCTCGTCCTCGGAAAGGTCCAATCCGCTTTTCAGGGTTCGGCGAACTGCAAAAATTTAACACACTGAAGATGAACCCATGAAACACTTCAAATGACGCAATTCAGTGGGTTAGACATGAGAAATCTAACTTGATTGTATAAAGCACGATGTTGTAAAGCCTCCACATTTTGAAAATCCCATAGTCTTTGCGAATTTCACCAATGGTAAAGCTTGTGGAATTCACTGTTGTACGAGATTATTACAAAAATTGCATCAAGTCAGTAAAACGTGAAATTCACTGTTGTACGAGATTATTACAAAAATTGCATCAAGTCAGTGAAACTATGCTCCTTTTTAGTGGCTATTGACACATTTTTCATGGCGAACTTGTGAATAATAAGGACTCTGAAACAGTGTTTTAGGCATGACATTGTTCTGAATCTGTTACTGGGTCAGTGAAAAACTTACCACTTCAAAGGTCAGCATAGAATATTTTAATATGACTCAGAGAAATTGCAATGTTATGACTACCATATCAGCCCTGCCCCTATAAACATACACAAGATAGGTATCTGGCAAAAACATTAATATATTTTAAAATAGAAGCTGGTCTCCTGCAATTAATCATTCCAGTGTTGCAGTGAGTAGACAGCAACTCGTTTTGTAGATATTTCCCTGTTGTGCGTTTAGGGAATTAAAGGCCAGAAAAACAGAAGAAAACAAAGCAACACATCTGTGCTGTCTTGTTTTCACCGCTGCAGTTCCATTGCTATTTAGTACAGCAGTTTCATTTTCTAGTTCACATATGCTCCCATCTAGGCAAATCACTGGGAACAGAATATAGCAAAAGTCTCGACAGCTGAAACAAACCTTTTCTCGGATGTGTAGACCGAGCTAGAGAGAGAGAGAGACTTACGTGACTTTCTGTCGCCGTAGCGCGCCTTCTTGCGGATGCGAGGCTCACTTCGTGACTGTTGTGCCGTGGCGGTTTTTACAAGACTCTCCAAGATCTCATCATCAGCATCGGTGAGGTTCTCATCGCGTGTTGGCGTACTGTGGCGCCCCAAGGTCCCCCCTGGACCTGGAACAAGACACAGAGAGAATTTCACTCGCACTTCCTTCACTGGTGCCAGCATCGGCATAAGCGTTGCCTGGTCCATTTACTGCCTTCAGAGTGCTTGTATAAAAATGGTGTTAATCTGGCAGAATGCAGTGGCATTGAAATGATATGTACTCTGGGTTTACTCGATTTATTTTTCACATTTTACTTGGGACCAAAATATGTGTATAGACTGGTACCGATACCCGCCGTGTACACTACTGAACAATATGAAGAGACTTGGCAGTTTTGAAATGCTGCTAATGCTAGAAAGTAGTGCTGAGCAATTATTCAAATTTTCAAATAATAGTTTTTAATAATAGGCTACTTGATATTCGCTTTGAGGTGAACTGCAAAAACTTTGAGCCTTTCCACTCTGGTGAAGAAGGAAGAGCAGCGAAGCTGTAGCTTGTGTTCTCGGCGGTGGCTTTCCAGGCCAGCGATCTGCTCTTTTTTCGCGAGGGAATCTGAAGTGCTCGACAGAGTGGAACTTTAGGCGATAGCGGCCTCGCGGCGGTTGCGGAACCATTCGCGCTGCTGCGCACATCGCCGCTCGGTCCGTTCCCGCTCATCTTCCTCCAATAAATAATGCGGCCATCTATGAGCGACAGCAGCAGCCAGTTGTCTGGTTGCCGAGGCTGGAAAGGTTGCCGCGATCTATGAGCGACGGCAGCAAGCAGACAACCGGCAAACACAACACTCCGGACAGCTACCGCCATCTATGAGCGACGGCGGCAACCAGAGTGTTGTGCCGACCACGGGTGTCGACATCTGTTTGGTACCAGACATGATGCTGGAGAAACTAGCTCTTAACAGCTCCGCTGTAATATTCCTACTTTTCGAAATGTTGATCGCGACGGGGGTTAGCCCTGCTGAGTGCGCTTCTCACCGAGCACCTGTGCACTGCAGGGAAGCAATACCCGCGGATCTCGCAGGCTTTGCGAGTATTGCTTCCCTGCAGTGCACAGGTGCTTGGTGAGGAGCGCACTCAATGGGGCTCACCCGCTGCAATGATGCAAGAGCTATATGTTAGGCAGCAATGTCTGACAAGCCCGCGCTCATCATTCACACTTTTTTTATTGTTGTTAAATTTGAAATAGAAGAAAGAATATTTGCACATAGAAAGCAGATTTATAAATCCCCTCGATTGGATAGCTGCGACAAATCTCGTTTACATGCTACAGTTCATACAGTTACATTAAAATTAATCGAGCTCAGAAGTGGAAAAGTGAAAGGTTGGGAACAACCTTCACAAGCTCAGCGGAATTTTTGTTTTACCATGGTGCACGGTAGTGGAAAGCTGAAAAAAAAACTATTCAATATTTGTTTCAAAAATATTTGGCCAAAACCACTATTCGCTTTGAATTCACTGTGAACTCAAAAGCCACTATTTGCACATGCCTACCAGAAAGTAATTACGAGATTTCAGACTTAATTGTGCAAAATGCTGCAGCACTTTCCCGAAACAGTAAACAAAAGATGCCTCCCCACTAACTTACAAAACAAACGCCCATTCTCTTACTTTGGGGTATTCGTGGTCGCACACGCATGCCTGGGACAGTTCCCCATTTGCCTCCTTTTGGTTCGTCCACATCTGAAGCTCCATTGCCTAGAAGCTGCCGGAGTTCTTGATCAGCCTGTTGCTCTTTTGTTTTGAATTTGTCCATCTGCAATAACCACACCACTTGCCATCAGGTGACATTACTTGGTAGACATGGTATGATAAACAAATAAGGAAAACAAGTCCGAACAAATACCATATTTGTTTAAATATAGGTTGATGGTTTTCCTTCCCCAATAGTTGTTTAGAATTAGGGGTCAACTACAATTGTGTCCAAAGATTGCCGACATACAATAGTGAACAAAAGTTCTGACCCCGTTGAGCTAGACGAGATGCTCCCCACACTAGCCGCTTCTAGCACACCCGTGTGAAGGTTCACATGACAGCACTGGTACAAAGCAATGAAGCCTGATGCAAGCAGTGCATGCGAGTGCATGCGGCCTGGAGGATTTGGACGATAACGTGACCAGTGCAAGAAAAGCAAGTAGGTCTCAGCTAGCATGACTAGGCACACTGTAAAATAAATGTTTGTACAATTTTTTTTTTCTTTTACTTATTTTTAAAAATTAGGGTCAACCTAACACATTCTCTAGTATAGGGATTCACCTATATTCAAGCAAATAGATCTATGAAAGAAAAGCAAGTTTAAAATTAAACGGCTTCTGCGAGATGGCATGTCACCCCTTCCTTACAAAATACCGTTTGTCAACTAAGACGGCAAGTTTTCTGTGGACAAGAAGTTAAATTGGCATCAGGGCTGCCAACCCGCGGGAAATTTCCCAGATTAAGGTAACATTCAGGTCTATGTGGGAATAAGGAAAATCTTGCTAGTTTGAGGGAAATTTGGGGCACCGTATATATCTGGAATTTTATATGTTGATCATGATCTTTTTTTTTTTTTTTTTTTGAGGTACCATTGAATTTTAGCGGCTTTGGCGAAATTTCGGTTATTCCCTCCAGCTGTTTGGCGGTTTGTTGCGCGACCATCTGGAAACACTGAGGAGCGCTCGGACAGTTTTTTTCCGGCAAAATCAGTTCTCATCGCCCCCATGAAACCTATGGAGGAAGGAACCAGCCAGGGTCGAAGCTTCTGACAGCACTGCTGCGCCTTCTCGAAAAAGAAAGCTTGAGTGCAAAAAGAAATACTGCAATATCTGGAGATACAGACTTACCATGACTAATAATATTTCGTCAAGTGTCGTGCACGAAGTGTGCCGCGTTGCGTGTGTTCGAGTTCGAGAACTCTCGCTTGTGCTGCACTTTTTTATTTGGACCGACTATTATCAAAAGCGCTAATGAAGTTATTGAAGCAGTGCCATGTTCTGATGACGTGCATAACATCTAGGGCTTAAATAGAGTTCTATTCGTCAGTTTGATTCCCCCGCGGTACTTCCCCTCACCAGATTTGGTGTACCTACAGTTTTAGACCGATAGACTCATTTTTGCGAAACGTATGCGAGGCTTAAAAACTATGTATCTATCATCGCAAAAATGGAAGTTTTGAAGAACACAAATATTATATAATTATTTGGGCAAGTGAGGGAAATTTCAGCAGAAATAGGGCAATTAAAGGCAACTGCTAGGGAAATCTTGACTTTCCGTGTTGGCAGCCCTGATTGGCATCCCGCCATACTGGTTGTCGACGGGCTCCGAGGTAATCAAAGGCAAAAAATGTCAACACTTGGATGACTGCAGAGACCTCTGTGATCATCTTGCCACGGGTCTTGTTGCGTTCACGATGGTTGGCCTTCTTCTCAAACTGCTGCTGGACCCTCTCCCTGGTGGTGCGATACTCAAGGGCAAACTCGCTCACAACCTTGCACACCTGCTGTGCTTTGGTCTCGCGGATTGAATGGGGCGGACATCCAAGATACACCAAGAGCTTGTGGAACCTAAAAGAGAAGGCAGTTCTCTGCATGCCCAGCATTGCTCAAGAAAAAAAAAATTGCAAAAACATCTATAACTTTTCTTATTTTGTCAGGAGTTCAAGAATTCAGAAAGAAGCATTAGAAATATAGTAGAAAAGTGATTGGAGAACTTTACTATGTTGATTCCATTGATCACAACTTTAAGCAGCTACAAACAGTCTCATACCAGTTAATCTGGGATTGCTACCATTTACCTCTCTTACCGTATCTACTCGAGTAATAGCCGCACTATTTATGAACAAGGCCCTTGCGTCTACTTTCTTACAGAACATACAGCCAATCATTGCGTCGCACATAAATAACATGGTGAATAACCAGATCGAGAACATGATTCTCCATACAAATGCAGTCTTCACAGGTGGTATCTTGGCACGAAGACGTTATCTCTGTCCTGTAAACAGCTGGAATCATGCTGCTGATCGCATTGATTAGCGATCTGCGTGCTCCGCAGAAAAACAAACTCTCAGGTTTTCTTCATAAACAAGTGCGGCTATTACTCGAGTAAATACGGTATATTATAATATCCAAGGGTACGACGAGGGGTGATCAATAAGTTTTGCCTCCTAGGCTGTAACATTTTTATTCAGGGATGAAATTGAAATATGTTACACTCAAATGAAAGTTTGGAATCTCCTCTTTCCAAGGAGCACATAAATTTTGAGTATAGTCCCCACCGGCGGCGATGCACTTCTGCTACTAGTGCACTACTCTGCAGGCCGTAGTAGGTGATTGAGGGCAGCTGTTGACGAGACCAACGCCGCGCTGGAGCGGCTGCAGTTCCAAGATGTTTGGCCTCATTCACCTCACAGCCCGGACCTTCCGACTTTTGGCTGTTTTCCAAGATAAAGGAACGTCTAAAGGGTACATGGTATGTGTCCGATAACAAGGTTACAGTGCGCTGTAGGTGTCGTCAACAGCCGCCCTTAATTATCTACGACGGCATGCGGAGAGCAGTGCACCAGTAGTGGAAGTGCATTGCCCTATACTGAAAAATTATGTGCTCCGAGGAAAGAGGAAATCCAAACTTTCATTTGAATGTAACCTCTTTCAATTCTATCACTGAATAAAAAAGTTGCAGCCCAAACGGCAAAACTTATTTGACACCTTATACACACTGTAAACAACTTTATTTTCGTGGACTCCATATTTTGTGAATTGCACAAAGTGCCGGCTTTAGGAATGTTTTGACGGCACGAAATTTTGCTATGGGGAGGGGCATGCTATATACTAGTCCCCAAGCAACAATTTCTTTGTGTGCTAAGTTTTTGTTTTTATTCCAAAATTCACGACAATTAACATTCTTGTGAAAATTAAGTCGTTTATAGTGGCTGAATAAATCAGTTTGTGCAGAACAAAACCTTGGGTGAAAATTTTACAATTTCTAGGTCACTACCGGTTTCATAGAGCCAACATTTACAGGCAATATTTCTTATAAAGTGTAAAAAACCACTTCTATAAAGTAACATATTTGAAGAGATAACTGAGCATGTTATCAAAAAGAACATGTTCATTCTTATACTTTCCCCAATTTTGAAGACCACTAAAATTGATATAGGTGATTTTATTTGCTGTTCTTAGCAAGCCAAATGCACCCCAAGCCTGTAGCGTTGCATCCCCGTCCGTGGAATTTTAGCAGATGGCTCAATGTCTTTGCTTCATAATTAGCAGGTGATGTGTAGGGTGGTCTGCTCAGTCTACATTAGCTTTCCCTGTTGTGTGATCTCATTGTATTCCCAGAATAATGAAACCTTTCGTGCAGTTGGGGCTTGCCCCTTACAATTTTTATTTTAAGATTCCTTGCATGGCTGCTTGGAAGAAAACCTTTGTTTACTTGGATAGAAGCTTCATTGCCACAAAACAAATTCTATGTCAAGATCTCAGTTGAGATGCTCTAATAAGGTGCACCAGCTGTTTGCTTGGCTGGTAATTGACTGATGACCAACCGTGCCTTTGTTCTTTTGTATTCAAATGAGAAGCTCTTATTTTGTTGATAGGAAGAAAACAGTAGGAAGCCCCTACCTGTTATGAATCCTGCGGTGAATGATCCCCAGGATCACTATCCTTTCCGCACAGTCATTGAGGAATTCGGACAGCCTGCAACAAGGGAATGCACTCAATCTCTCCAGCGCTGGTCCAGAGAGGTTGGCAGCCGTAAAAACGCTCCCACTCGATCACTCACTTGGCCTTCATGGCAGATCCATCATGCTTTGCAATGACCTTCAGATGTTCCCAGGACGCTTTGCAGTCGCTTTCCATCTTACTCAGGTTTTTGGCCACTTCGTCGTAGTCAACCTGGACACCAAAGTCAGTCGCCTTTGTACCTGTGGTTCACTGCTGACACTCTATACTGTCAAAGCTGAGTTAGCTACTTCGCTGTGCAACAGTGGATGCAATAGTTATTGTTAAAGTTACAAGTACCTGCCCGTCAAGTGAAGTTCCCCAAGAGAGCCGAAATAGAAGATTTGTTACAACTGCACAATTTCAAATGGACAATTGATAAGCTTTGTTTGGCTGATATTCTGCAGAAAGGCACAGGTGTGCTGCAATTACCTTGGAGCTCCTAGTGACTGCACCAATCTCTGAGTAGAGGTCAGTGGTGTCTGGGTGCTTCTCCATCACCATATGGCAGAGGTGGTGCAGCAAAGAGTGCTTGTGTACTGTGTCCTTCACTTCCGGAACCTTGGCCAGGTAGTCTATTTGGAAACCTTTTACCTGGAAGGACAAGCACATACCATCCTAATCTGGCATACTTGTTGGTTAAGATCAGTGTTAACAGATTTTAGAGCGCAGCTCTTAGGCACCCGTTTGCGCATTAAAGGGATGCAACACCCCCCCCCTCCCCCACAATTTTTTTTTTTTTTTTTAAGTAAAAGGAACGCAGCTGCTCGAAACTGGACTAGGGAGGAAGAAGAATTAAACATAGAGGAGGAGAAAGATAAAATAAATCACATAACTGCATTTTTTTTTTTTTAATCCACGTATTTGCATTTTTTATAAGCCACAAAAAATGGGTACCATTATTTTTGTCCATTTCTAGTACTGAGTGTGTGCCTTCAATGACCCACGACTTTGACTATCGTTGGTGGTTGTGTCTAAACCTTAGAAAACGGCACGTGACCATGGAGAAGAGAGTAAGTGCGACTCAAACCGGCCAGTTCTCGATCGGCGATTTTCGTGCGGAAAGAAAACGAATTTCGAGCCGCAAATTGTGTTCTGGATAATTGGGCTCTCATATGTCATGTACAAATAAAAACCTTGGCAAGCGACGGCACGGCGACTGTCGCCGACGTTGTGCGCATTGCATTATGGGACGTCACAGACCTATACTCCAATTCTCTTCTAAATTTAGTGAAGAAAGTGAATTGGTGTGTGGGTCTGTGATGTCCCATAATGCAACACTGCACATTCAGTTTCTCCGCTAAATTTAGCGGCAAAACTGACGTCATATGACCTCAACACCAATTCAGTTTCCCCGCTAAATTTAGCGGGGAATTGGATTGGTGTTGAGGTCATGTGGCATCAGTTTTCCCACTATATTTGCGGGGAAACGGACTTTGTGTACAAGTCACGTGACATCAAGTCATGTAACATCTTTTTCCCAGCTAAATTTAGTGGGGAAACTGAATTGGTGTTGAGGTCATGTGACGTCAATTTTCCAGCTAAATCTAGCGGGGAAATGGAATCTGTTCATAGGTGACGTGGCACGAAGTCATGTGACGCCATTTTCCCTGCTGCGGGGAAACCAAATTGGTGTTGAGGTCACGTGGCGTCAATTTTCCAGCTAAATTTAGCAAAGAAACTGTGACGTGATGTGACGTCACAGGCCACGGCTTCCCGAAATGCGGCTTCACGAAATCATTACCAACTAGCCAAAAACGTTTCACGTTGAAACAAACACTGCGCACATTCAATTATGGGGCTCCCACGTACCCTCTTCGTCCCGCCCGGCCTACCCTCAAAAAAAAAAAAAAAAATCAAATATATCCACGGCATGTCACAAAATCAGCATACCTCAAGAGCTGCACTCCAATTTCGCGTTACAGAGAAGCGTAATTTTTTTGTTCGGTCGCACTCTTGTTTTGCTTGGCTTCATTTAGCATATAAAGAAATGTTCTGCAGCGCACAACTATACACGTTTTCACCTCAAGAACCGAAATAAAAAAAAATCCGGCTCCGCGTGGAGCATTACTAATTTCCGCCTTTATATGTAGAGAATTGATATTATTGCCACGCGCGTCGCTGAGCGAGCATGTGCATGGTCGAATGGTTACCGTGCTTGGCTTTCGCACGGAGGCTCAAGGTTTGATCGCTGGGAGTGGACGCTTCTTTCATTTATTTATTCTTTCAATTTAGCGCTCTCGTAAGTTTGAAAACCTTGTCATTTGATCGAGGTATAAAAGTTCTATGCGCCGAACATTCTAAGCCAAATGTTCTGGAAACCCACGCGGGTACAAAGGGTGCTTCCCGTGGCGGTCCGGGACGAGTCTGGCCCCAGCGCTCAATCTTGGTATACGCCACCATCGACGCCTGCGACACTAGCCTTCTTCAATTTTGTTTTGGGTACAAGTTCGCCCCATCAAACTAGTCATTCGTGACAATATTTAGGTGCATTTTAGATTAGACATACTACATTACCTTAATCAAGATAAGGATATTTCTTGAACTATGCAACTTGTTGAATTTTACCATGATAACCTCTGATGTTGACCAAGGAGGGCAAATAGATTCTGTATTTCTGGATTTTTGAAAGCCGTTCAACATAGTTTCGCACTCTCTCCTTCTTAACAAACTTAAAATGTTAAACATAGATTCGACAGTACTTAGATGGATTGAAAATTACTTGCTCCAGCGTTGCCAATGTGTGGTATTGAGTGGAAAAAATTTGGATTATGTTGATGTAGCATCAGGAGTTCCACAGGGCTCTCTGTCCTGGGTCCACTTTTGTTTTTAATTTATGTTAATGATATCTCTTTTGGAATCTCCTCTTTTATTTGGTTGTTGGCCGATGATTATGTTGTGTATAAGAAAGTTAAAAGTTCAGATGATGCCGCCTAATTGCAAGTAGACCTAGATTGTATCCAGTTAGTGCTCAACATGGAAAAATTTAAATCCTAAAAAGTGTGTTCATCTTCGTTTCACAAAGAAAAAGAAAAAAATCGAATCCCAGTATTTTATAAACAATAATCCAGTAACTAAGGAGCTTACATACAAATATTTAGGCGTCGCATTGTCATCTGACTGTTCGTGGAATGCTCATATACTAGAAAGAGTAATTCTAAAGGCTGGCAGGGCAATGCATTCCATTCAATGTAACTTAAAATGTTCACAACCTAACTTAAAGACAACTGCTTATTTAACATCTGTTAGACCCATTCTAGGGTATGCGTGTGCCATCTGGGACCCAGCCCAAAGAATGTTAATAGAAAAGCAGGAAAAAATACAAAATAGGGTGGCTAGGTCTGTTTTCGGAAGATATGGGAGGAAAGAAATTGCACAGACATGAAAAAAGAGTTAAATTGGGAACCACTTTCCGCACGTCGGGGGAAAATTGTGATCAAAATTTCTGTATACAATAGCCAAAAATAAAATGAATAAATAGCGAGATTTACTTAAAACAACCATCTAATCAGAATGATCATAGTCTTAAAATTAGATAGTACCATGCTAGAACAAGCATGTTTGCCAATTCTTTTTTTGTGTTTGAACGATTACACAATGGAATCGACTCACGTAACCACAAGTGTGCTGTGTGAATAAAGATGTGTCTTTTTCATCTCTGTAAACCCCCCTTAACGCCCCTTGGGCACTGCGGGGTAATTATTGAATAAAGAATCAAGAATAAAGATGTACAGGTTTCTAATGCCAAAAGCACTGCTCCTTCCTCCAACAACCAAATCCTGTAAGAACTACTTCACGCGGCGTATGAACAAAGTGCAAAACTTCCTTTTTTCTTGAGGTGAAAACGAGTATAGGAAAACGATGATAGCCACTGGAAGAAGCGAGTGGTACAATGAAAAAAAAAACTCTTTTGACTCTCAGAAAGAAAACAATGTTGTCCATGGACACTGACCCTCCCTCTCTTGTAAACTGTTGAGTTCAGCACTAGCATCTCAAAAACCAGGCATAGGTCACCCTTTGCAGGTTCAAAATAATTGAGAGAGAGCTCATGAGTGCTAATATAAAAACAGCCAGGTGTAACTCTTACCTCTGCTCCGTTGAGGAAGTTACCGATGGAGAGCAGTGTTGCCAGGATAATCCTCAGAGTTCGGTTGGTTTCAATCTCCTCCATGGCTTGCTTCAAGTCCATCAATGGCTCAGCTACCTCCTATTATGAAGTGACTAGCATGAATTGCTGGCCTATCTTGGCAAACATGTAGGCATAAACTTCTCAACAAAGAACATTTTAAAAATGTATCTTGCATCAAAAACTGTAATGATTAGGAAATGTTTTTAGAACCTTTACCTCAAAATACAGTAGCTAATATACAAAATTGTGGAGCAAGCGCTTTACTATTTTCGGGGGACGCTAATGAAGAGAATGTTGCTAGCAGACAGAATTTCATCTATATTCTCCCTTTAAGGCCAATGTACAACCTCGGTCGAAAGGAGAAGACGGGCAAAGGTGCAAAGTGTATGTTGACCTTTAACTTTTTCCTGACCGCAATCATAGGCCATCGACCACCAGTGATGGATAGTTTCCAAGCGCCGTCAAGAAATTAATTTTAGTGCAGAGAATTATGTGGCACAATCTTGTGGATAGCTGAAGAACTAGTTTCGGTTTCAAAGCAGGTTTGAGCTTTATCACAAGCTGGTGGGCTCTCAAAAATAGTCCTGGAAACTGTGGTTGCACTTGTCTAATTTGGCTAACTGCTTGCATCAGTCATTGTAACAAAAATGGTGTTATTTACTAGGACTGGGCAATTGATCAATTAACCTACCTATTAATCACTTAATGCTTTAATTGCGATTAAATCTTTTTAACTGATTAATCGGTAAAATTTTGACGAACCAAAAGAAAGAAAAAATTAAACTCTTTCATCACGCAGATGTGGACAAGTACACCTGTATGAAAGGTTAAATTTTAAGTGAAAGTTTAGCCTAAAGTAAATTTTAGGGGTGAGATTTGTAACACCAGACAAGTGCAAAAGGCTACACGTGTCCCAACTACTTCAACGCCATTCGAGTGCCCGTTTAGCGCAGCAGAGACTATTGTAAACAATCAAAGGTGGCCGCTCTTGCCAGAGAATATCAACCAACCCCTTTGTCTCATGCAGCTGAAGTAAGAATCTGTGAGTGTGGATGCATTCCTAGCCACACAGAGAGATTGATTCATAATCCAAGTTCTATCTTGTGCCGTTCTCACGCATTCAGCAAAGGCAAACAAAATATATTAATTTAAACGTTTCTTAATACTACGAGAAATAAACGAGACCGATTAGTCAATTAATTGATTAAAGAGTGGCGATTAATCGGGTTAAAACTTTTAATCGATGCCCAGCCCTAATATTTACATAATTCAATTGTATTGTGGCATATTCTTTAGACCTCAAAAGCTCTAGGGACACTTTACAAAAGATGTTATAGGCGTCGCATAACAGATGGTTGTTGGTAAGCAGCTATAATTTCCCATGCTGTCCTGAGCCGGCATGCACGTTTTATGTTCCCAAGAAGGTGGACAAAAATGCTAAATATGAGGGAACTGCACTCCTATGACAAAACCAAGGTAGAACACAAAGAATGCATTCTGCTGGGGATGCAAGGCGTACTATCTGTGTTTCACCAATATAAGCATTCCTTCGTTGAAAAGCATACGTGTTGCGAAGGCTTTCTCTCCGACGAACTAAAAATGGACAACGCCAGTTAGAGTACACTAACTTTCAGAAGTAATGGCCGCGGGTGTAAAGCACATTTTCTATATTCTTAATTTCTTTTATTTGTCACTTAATCTGACACAGCTGTAGAGGTTTCGGCGTTTGTATGCCTTCCGCACGTACATCGAATTTTCACTTTCTTCCACATTATACCAATAAACTCTAAATCTTTTGAAAGAGCAACGAATTGGCCATATTTTGACGTGTCATATTGCTCCATACGCAAATTAGTGAGGAAAATAAACGTGGTTGCACGAATCCTTTGAAAACTGCTACTTTTCCTATGGTCAGGAAAGAGTTAAGCCACGAACATCCTCGAATAAAATATATATATATATATATTAAAATTTTTAAAATCTGTAGCACTTGGAGATTCCTAAATATAGCGGACTTTTTGTCAGGCCTCCAGTATCTGCGCTGTTTTGTATGATGCCTATAAAATATTGCTCGATAGGTCTGCACACACTCAAAGGCTAGAAAACAGACAGATACATACACACAGACACATACACACAGACAAAATACACAAGGCCATGGTATATTCTATGCACATGATTGGGTCAGCCCGCAATAACACATGCACAAAAGTATTATGAATGCCGTGACTTTGCGCTTTTAAGATGCTGGATTGGCCCAATCGGCACATAAGGATCAGTTGCACTCTGCTTTATGGTGATAAAAGATATAGGCCTATCTTTTTCAGTGTAGTGTAGGAGCCTGTGAATATTTATAATTTCAAGTATCAATCAAGTAGTGGGTAGCCTGCTTCATTTAACACCAGTTTATCGAACAGGGGAGATAGCGAGAGGGTCTGCAACAATTTGATACATGTACATTATTTTAACTTTCTAATTTGTGAGATAAAATAACAGATTGCATGTCGCTGCTCCTTCCTTTCTTGAGCGACATCTCCCATGCTTAAAGCTGCACACATTGTTTTGTGGCAGCTGAAGTTACCTTTAGCAGGGCTAAGTAGTGGGACATGCTGCCAGATTCCCCTATGGCGCAATATGGTACAGGAGTAAAAGCACTGTAAACTGACCCGCTCCAAAACGTCATAATCCAACCGGAAAGCCCAGAGTCGGAGCCTTGCTTCAAGCTCGCTGATGGATGCCAATGTAAGCAGAAACTGCTCCGCATTTCCCAGGGGGACATCTGGGTTGGCCATCTGGGCCTCCATGATCCTGTTCTTTTCATCCTCTCCTGGCATCATGGTGGTCAGAATTTTCTAGAAAGAAAAGTGTGTGTAATTTACTACTTAGCTCCAGAGGCTAAAACACCCGATCTGGACTCTTGCTACATCTACCAGGAGCTCTATTATCTATCGTTCCAATACATGTTTGGACCAAAGCTGACAGTAAGCCAAAACAAACATGGAGGGCAGCTTCAACTCATATAGTCCACAGTACTACACCACGCAAAGCAAATATTGCAAATATAGCAGATGCAATCTGAAACCGCATTCTTGTCCAGTGTTAGACATATGCTTCATTTTTATTGTAGCCAAATTTCTCCATTGATGTTACAAAAAATTCTCAATACTTTTGATAATATACACTTTGAGTGCCTTGGGCCCCTACAGTTGCTTACGGATACCCAGGTGGAGGGTTCGAATCTCGGCCAAGGTGCCCGCAATCTGAAGGAGGCTTATTGCAGAGAAGGCAACCAACATTTCTGCTGCACATCGAAAGATCCCCAGGTGGTCGAAATTAATCCTCAGTCTGTTGTTGGGGCACGTCAGACGCCCTTCATTGGTTTGGCACGTAAAACCCCCAAATTTGACTTTTGACTCCACGAAAACAAAATGAGCTATACATTTTCTTAGTTGCCTGGCATGCTACCTATCCCAGTAAAATTTCTACAGGGGGGTATTTACAGACTATAATTATATCATATTTTATCTACCAAAAACAATGTGTTTTTACCTTGTAAAATCAAAATGATAAAAACACGTATTTAGCGAAGCCATCAATTCATGTTGTTCCCACCCTACTTGGTGTCTTTGCGATACCACTGACTTATCTTCTTCACACAACTCACCTCTATGCCTTCTTTGTTCATGATGGTGCTGTCCATCTTGAGGATTGCAGTCTTTATTGTTCTTGGAGGTGGCAGCTTGGTCATGCCAATGTTAATGGCATTGGAGCGTTTGGCATCCAGTACTATGACTTCATTCTTTTTGCCCTCTTGATTTTTCTGCAATAAAACCCATCCACAGTCCCCTTCTTAGTTCAGCAAAGTCGATTGTTTTACTAATGTGTGTCTGCAGAAATTAAATGGTGGAAGAATTTGATAAAGTGGCCTCATAAATGTTACTTTTTTGATATGGCCAATGTGGAAACAAAGAGAAAATTAGTACATTAGTTTTTGGATAGGTATATTGAAAAGTTACCTATCATCCAAGACACTTTTTTTATATATATATATTTCCTTAAAACTAACAAAACTTAGATCCTACAGCAGATAATAATGGCCTTTCTTAGACAGGTTCAAGACTATTGAGAACCTTGCTAACATAATCCAGAAGTATATTTAGAAAAAATTTTAAATTTCTTTTCTCGGTGGTTAATCCTCTCTTTCTAACCTCAGTGGTTGAAACAGCAGCAGCATGTTATGTGCACCTTCTGAAGGAGTTCTTACAGCTTGTCCCTCCTTCATTCATGTTTTTTTTTTTTTTTTTTTTTTGGGGGGGGGGGGGGGGGGGGTTTGTTTTGTTTTTTTAATTGGCAATTGCTTTACGCATGCAGAGGGAATGAGAAGAGGCAGCACACTCTGTGCGTGCAAAGCAGAAAACATGTGGCCGAAGATGAGGTGCAGTGATGTCCTTACCTCCTAGACGTGTTTCCAAGTGCCGGTCACCAGCCCAAGCGGTTGCAAGTGTTTTGGAAGGAGAGATGCTTTGAGTTAGCATGCATGCAAACCCTGACCACCACAAGACCGCAGCCCATAAGAAAAGTTTCCCACGAGACTGTACACACGCACCACAGATTCCCCACATCTCCGCAGAATGCCGCGGACATTTTTGGTGGTCCCAGAGACCAGTTAATAAGTGACATGACAGGATATAACTAACGACTATTGAGTAGGAAACTTTTGTGTTTTATGTTGCGCTTTAGATATGGTCACAAAAAGCAAGAGTTGCAATAGTTTCTAGGTGTTCCAGTTAAAGGAAACATCTAAACTAAACTATATATGTATATATATCTTTGTGGCTAATGCACTGCAAACAGCAATGAAACACCTTGCAACCGAATACTCCTTAAAGAATGCTAATCTTGGAATTCATTTAGAACTGCATATTACTATGAGGGTGCGTGTGCACAAAATAAAGCCATTTGAAAAAGAAAATTTCGGAAATAAGAAGGTCTTTGTTTTGAGAATGAGGTGGAAGCAGCATGCAAATGAATCACTCCATTTTATCTGCGAGAATGTGTCCAGCGTGCATTTAACCACAATTTTAAAGACGCAGTTCAAAGCTGAGTATTCTTAGACGAAAATTTGGCTCACGTTAGGTTGTTTCCCCCCCTTTTTAGAACTCTTACATCAACTACAACATAGGTTCCAAAACTTATGGGTAATATTAACGGCTGGTTATTATAAAGACATACTCATAATCAGTGGACAAGTACCGAGTTTTGTAGAAAACAGTAGTGAAGCTCGGAACACAGATGGTGGAAGAGGAGGAGAATAATTGTGAGCGGAAAGCAACCTGGCCTCCCGTTTTACTATTTCTTTTGCTTATTTTTTTTTTCCTTTATACATAGGGTTACACAGCTCACTACAATGCTTCATCAACATCTACTAGTTATGCCTATAGTATCCATTTATTGACAACATTTTGGTATGTACCTACAGTGCCTAAAGAAACAGCCTCTATAGAAAGAAGCAGTCTCTTTATGCCCGTAATACTCATTATGGACATAAAGAAACAGCCTCTGTGGAAGCTGTCTCTTTATGTCCGTTATAGTCATTATGGACGTATGAAACAAAGCCAGAGAATCGCACAGACATGTTGGCGCTGCTGGGAGTGGTATTTCATATGAGTACACTTCCCTGGACTGTGCATACAAACATGCCTGTGTCCAACTTCCCCCTAGCTTACCCTGTTGAGCACCTCCTTGGCTCTGCTCTCGAAGAGATGCTCGAGCTTCTGTGTGTCCACATGGACCCTGCCCAACTCGTCCCAGATGGTCTTCTTCTTGGGCATCTTAGCCAGCAGCCCCTGATCCACCTTGACCTCCTTCCAGAACAGTTTGACAGTCTTCTTGCTTTTAGGAGGCAGCGCATTCATTGCTGCCTGCTGCTGCTGCTGCTGTTGTTGCCTCTGCTGCAGCCAGGAAGGTGCCGGGGGAGGTGCCTTGGGCGGCCCACCCAATGGAGGGGGAGGTGGACCACCGAGAGGAGGCGGCGGTGGGGGCGGAGCCCCATTGGGAGGCGGAGGGGGCGGTGGAGGAAGGCCTGGCCCCGAAGCCCCGCCGACCGGCTGGAGGACGTCGGCATCGTCGTCATCTCGGAGGTCCGTGAAGTCGAGGTCGTTAATAAGCAGGGGACGCCTTATGGAGCGGACTAGCTGCTCCCACTGCAGATCGTTGTCAGACTTCCACAGCAGGTCAGGGATGGACGAAGAGCTCGTCTGGGGAAGCAGCGAACGGAAGTCGGTCCGGGACCGTGACGCGGCGAGGCCCTCTTTGGCACGGTTGACTGCGCCGGCCGTCGAGACGTCCGCAGAGCACTCCGTCGTCCTTCCCGTTATTCTGTCCTGGAGCTCACGGAGTCCGTCCTTCTTGAGTTGCTGAGGTGGCCGAACCAGCTCCTCCTCGCGAGAGTTCTCTTCCTCGTGGTTCTTGCCGTACATCATGGAGAGTGCCCATGACTTCTTGTTAGGGTCGCGTTGCGTCGGGCTTGTGTACGGCTGTGGGGACTTGTTGGGACAGGGGCCAAAGCTCTTGGGCGGTTCCGTGTGCAGATTGGTGGGCCTCTGAAGTGGTGGCGTAAAGTTGGGTAAGGCTGGCGTCTGTTGTTGCGAGAGTTGCTGGTTCTTGCGGTTTTCATCCTCGATTCGGCTCTCAAACCGCGACCGGGTGCGTTCAATGAAAGATGGTCCTGCGTATGGCATTGAAGCCGGAATGTTTTATCTGTGAACTGTCTTCGTTCAGAAAACTATAACACATTTTTTATACAGAATATGTCCACGACTGCTCGTCTCTTTGAATAGACTGATTCACAAACAGGCTGATTTCATTTATTTTAACAGATCAGGCACCTACTACCACATGCAAGGTTCACGCACAATTGTGACAGTCTCTTTGGCAAGAAAAAGACTCACCTCGTTGAGCCTGCTTCTCAGTGGAATTTGCGGGCGGCGTAGTCGGAGAGGGAGATGCACTGGTCTGGTGGTCACGGCCATTCTCTTCTTGCTCACGAATGAGGCAGCGATTGCGAGCATCTCTCTCTCTGCGCCTCCGCAGTGCTGGTGTGATCCCATTTACTACGTCGTCTGCAATAGTGAAGGGACAGAATTGATTGATTTATCGGTCGTAAGAAACTCTCCAGTATTTGATTACCGAACGCTAAATTGTCGCTCCCACAAATCTGCTTACAAACCAGTTGTAAGAAAACTAACAATTGAAATTTTTGAAGTAGCTACAACAACACAATCTTTGCGCAGTCTTATCTCCAGTGCCCCAGGACCACCTTTAGTCCCAGTTTTCTGCAGTCTGGTTTCTATGCCTGCTCTCAGTAGGGTAATTCCTTAACTTTATTTTTTTGTCATTGAGCAGGCAAAATAGTTTGAACGGCAGTTGCTCAAAAAGGCAACCTCATCTCACCAATCTCCGGCGTGTTGCTGTCGTTATGGGCGATGCCATTCTTCCCGTGGTCGGGCACCTTCACCGGCTCTTCATTTTGGTTCACATCCCTGAGAACAAGAAAGCAAGCACATTCTTCTTACAGCTCCTTCTGTAGTTCTTCATTAAAGGATTATTTTGTATGAACAAAGCTACAGGCAGGTGTGCTAGCATTGTAGTGAAATTACATGCCCAGGCCCCTAAAAAGGACAGTGCCCAGAGACACCGCCTGATGCACCTCACCTTCTCCTCCACTGAGGAAGTGTGGTGGCCTCTGGGGTCTTGGCAAGGGGTGAAGGCCGTTGCTTGAACGGGCTTGTACTGTTGGGTGTCAAATTGCCGAGCGAGTGACGTCGACTCTTCCTTCGTTCGTTTTCGTCGTTGCTTGCCTTGCGACTACGAGGGACTTGCCTGTACCAAAAACCATTCTGAATCAGACTGCAGCTTTCGCTTCCAAAATATTTTAAAATGGTATTAGCCAAGTTTGCAAGCTTGTACTACATAATACAACTGGGGTGCATCGACACTGCTAAGACAAATTCAGAAAGTCAAATTTTAGTACCTTAGCCGGACATCAAGTGGCAGGGCCTTGCCATCACCATCTCCATCCTCATGCTTCAAGACAGCCTGAAAAAGAGTTGTAATTGGTGCCTAGTCAGCATTTGTGTACCATATGTGAACCCAACAACGTGAAAAAATGCCATGCTGTACATTGTTAAGCGAAAAAAAAAAAAAAAACTTTCAGCCTTTCCACTTGGTGAAGAAGGAAGACACGCGGAGCTGTACTATGGTGAGACAACCTCAAGGACGACGCCTAGAGGATGACGTCTAGGATGACCTCAGGGACGAAGTCTAGGACGACCTCAAGGACGAAGTCTAGGACGACCTCAGGGACAACGTCTAAAACGACCTCATGGACAGCGTCTAGGCCGGCTTCTAGGACGACCTCGAGGACGTCTAGGACGCCCTCAAGGACGACTTCTAGGATGACCTCGAGGACGACGTCTACGACGACCTCAAGGATGACTTCTAGGACCACCTCGAGGACAACCTCGAGGACGACGTTTAGGACGACCTCAAGGGCGACGTCTAGGACGACCTCAAGACGACTTCTAGGATGACCTTGAGGACGACTTCTAGGACGACGCCTAGAGAAATTCAGCTTTTCCACTCTGGTGAAAACCAAAGTGGGAAGGCTGGAACGGTTTCCGCTATCTATGAGCAACGGCGGCAACCAGACAACCGTCACATCGGTTGTCTGGTTGCCACGGTCGCTCACAGATGGCGGTAGGTGTCCAGAGTCTTGTGTCGAGATTTATTTGTCCACGGACACAAAACTGGGGAAACTAGCCGTTAACAGCTCTGCTGTAAAAAATGCTATGCATGCCTGTGAGCATTCCCTATGAACTTGTAATCCTATTTTTATCATATGTTCTTAACAGCGAAACTTGACTGGTTTGTTGACACCTGAAAGGCACATAAACCATCTTGAATTGACCTGAGACAGGGGTAGAGAAGAAACATCAAACATGCCACCCAACCGCCATCCTGTCTATTTTCTGTCTCTTCCACATTTTGATGTTTCTTCTCTACCCCAGTCTCAGGTTGTCGTCCTGTCTATTTTCTGTCTCTTCTATGTTTTGATGTTTCTTCTCTACCCCAGTCCCAGGTTAATTCAACATGGTTAATATTCACCAGCTTGCCTGCACCCTTATTATATTTTCTCTAAAGGCACGTGTCTGTAAAAGTGTTCAGAAGAAAAGGTAATGCTACCTCATAGATCCTGAACTGTTGAAGCAGATCAAGATCAGTTCCCTGCTTGGACATGTAGTACTGGATGAGTCGTTCCATTCCCTGCTCCTCAAGCGAGTCAACAATGTCGTAGTATGTGTCCTGGTCCGGAATGCCGTTCAGCGTCTGCAACACACAGTCACCAGCCCTCTCAGTTTCTAGTTTAATGCCATGCTAGTCTGGTGCTCCAATGCATATCGCCACTCTTGAAATTGGAGCTCTATTTTCTAGTCTTACCTTGTTTATAAGAGTCATCGAGTACACCAACAGTTCCATGTCAGCAGAATCTCTTTCGTTCAACAGCATCATGATGTTTGCCCATGGTCTTGCACCTGCGTTCATACAGGGTCTTGAAACTTGAGGAATGAAACGCTAGCTTCAGGCTGTCATAAAAGGTGCTAGGCGAACATTAATAAACACAAGCAAGGATGTTGAAAAAATTACACAGTTGAGCATAACTGTACAAATATATAGCTGATATTTATGCAGCTAAGTACAGCTGAATAGTAATTAAAAATTATACAGCTGAACTCAACACATCTCCTCTAACATGTTGTTTTTATTTAGAAGTCCACTGGACGAAACGGACAACTCAAGTGGATCTTGTTCTGCTGCGTCTTTTTCACGCCTTTCTTTTAAGGGGTTGCGCATAAAAGGCATGATTCATTTACAAAGTTGCTGAAAGCACTCAATGTTTAAGGACATGTTTGAATATACAGAATTGGTATATATACCGGGTGTTTCAGCAAAGGCTTTCAAATATCCCTAAAAATGGGGTGGTTAAGAAAATAATTAACTCTTTCCGGGAACAAACTGCCAGCCATGGCGGACGTCATGAATTGCAAAAATCATATTAATTATTGAAATAATGAACTAAAGTTCACTATTTAACTTTTTAATGAGTGAAAGGAAATATATGGTTACAATGAAAAATATGCGAAGCAGCATTGAAAACCACTAAATCAACTAATTTTAGGAAGATATAAATAAGGCAAGGGCAGCATTTTTATGGCATTCCGAAAAAACACTCAATTGGGACGCATTTCTAGGTTTTGGTTTCTTATCAGAGCACATCCTTGCACCCACGTTCCTGCTCCCCGGTGACCGAGGTGCAAAGCTACCGCCTCGCCTTCCTCGTAAGATGGAGGGAAGTATGACGCATGTGTGCTGCGCGTCTCGGCCACCGGGGAGCAGGACAACGGGCAGAAAGATGTGCTCCGATAAGAAACCGAAACCTAGAAATGTGTCCAAATATAATTGAGCTTTTTCTTTTCCTTTGGAATGCCATAAAATGCTGCCCTTGCCTTATATCATTCTAAAATTAGTTGATTTAGGGCTTTTTGATGATGCTTAACAAGTTTCTAATTAAAATCATGTTTATGTTTACTAAAAAGTGTATTAGTAAATCTTAGTTATTTATTTAGCTAATTAGTTTTTCTTAATCTTTTTTTTATGCAATCCATGACATTCGTTGTTGCTGGTAGTTTGTTCCCGGAAAGAGTTTCTTTTTCTCAACTACCCTATTTTTAGGGATTTTTGAAAGCTTTCGCTGAAAAGCCCGGTGCATATATATGGGTGATTTCATCTCAAATCGTGCAGGCAAAAAAGGATGAATTTTTAATTTCGCTGAAAAAAATATAGGTTATGGCGTCATCTCTAAAAACAGAATTGCCACAAACCGCTAGTTCGTCGGATTTTTCGTTCTCGACTTATGAAGCTTAAAAAAGGCCGCAGAGGAAAGCGGTATTTTTTACATCTGTCGTGGGTTTTCAGTCTACATTGTATTAACTTTTTTTAACCACTGTGAGTACAGTTAAAAGCCTCTAATGCCATGAAATATTTTTAGGCATTTTGCTTATTTTCCCTAAAAATGTCAAAAATGACCCTTCGGTTAAATGTTGATGAACTTTGACTTTTAGATACTTGTGATCCACTTGGGTTACATCAACATTTTTTTTAGGTCGATGGTGATCCCAAAACATGCTCTTTATATATATTATAAAATAACTTAGCTGTGTAAAGTTACCTTTGCAGTATGTTGACGTTAATATTATGCAAAAACCCAAAAGTATCACCTTTGAGGTCGGCTTTCTCAAAAAAAACTTGTTTTTTATTTATTTCTTTTTTGCTAGAATTTGTATTCGTTAGTCTTCTACTAGAAAACCAAGTAAAGAAAGTGTTATTTTCTTTGTACGTTTATATAAGCCTCGATATCGTAAAAAAATATGTCCGTTTGGTAAGACCCAAGTCAGACATACCAACCTGTGTGTGTCTTTGAATTGTGAAAGAAGTTTTGTTGCATTTTTGTCTGTGTCTTGAAATCAAACAAATGCTATCTGGGAGTATTGAATAATTATTTTTATGTTGGTAAAAGCAGGAAACCACGAGCAGCATATCTAATCAAATCAGCAGGCCTAGTAGATTTTCACTGTTGAAGAGGCACAGGCATTGTATTGTTTTGATTTATAAAAACACTCAGTGTAAACTAGCATGACTAGCTATTATCTGTCGCATTACTAAGACATATAAAGTCACCATAAGACTGAAATCAAGCACTAGGGTAGTGTTTCGCAGCCATTGGCCTTATATGTCACACGTTTCCTTGATTTACATGCGGTAGGGAGAGGAGGGGCGCTTGAAGCTTGGGCTTGGGCAGTGTTTCATGCATGCACGGATGGCTGGATCCAAGATTTGCTCACATCCCTATCGGAACCGGCCCATCTTCGTGTGTGCGTCTGCGGGATTCTTGTCCTGCGCCACCGGTTTAAGCGCGCATGCGGCATTGTTTGTGCCGGCAGAACTGTTCTTGACCCCCGATATCGTGTTATCCTCATTCTCCTGGACGGTTGTCACCGTACGCCACGTCAACGCCACATTCGTGCCATTTCACTCCTCGTGACACAGGGTTCGCTGCTCGGTTTTCTGTCACGGGCAGTCTTATCTCGCACAATGAGCGCAAAAGGTCATGGCCATCTGCTGCTTCCGAAAGAGCAGGACATTCATAGAGGACAATCAGGGCCCAGAATTGAGATTTACTCCGTGAGGTGTCCCCAATAAGCGCCCGGGCTAGGCTGCCTTCCTGTGCTCACGGGAAGGCACCATAGCTCAGGCGCACCTTGCCTCTTTTCTGCCGTTCGTAGAAACTGGAAAAGAGTAGGCACAGGGCGCGGCATGTCGTGTATCCCTAATATTTGTTGGTTTTACTTAAGGTAGCATGTTTTCACATACATTTTTACGTTCCTAGGCTGCCAACAATATAAAAGTATTATTTGACGCGCACGAAAAATCAAGGACGAAGTAAGCATTTAAAGGGACACTAATACCCCCCAAAAAATTATTTCCATTTTTTGCCATGCGATGTATTATGGTGTCAGAAGACTGCCCAATCAATATTTTTCTAGTGTCCCGTATATTTTTAATAAAGTAAAAAACGCAACTGCTCGAAACCGAAACTGGACTGGGGAGGAAGAAAGAATGTAGAGGAGAAAGATAACAAAAATCACAAAGCTGTGCAACATTTTTTTTTTTTATTTAATGTATTTTCAGTTTTTTAGAAGCCACAAAAAATGCGTATCATATTTTTGTCTATTTCTCGTATTGAGTGTGTGCCATCAACGACCCACGACTGATCATCTTTGGTGGCTGTGTCTAAAGCATAGAAAACGGCACGTGACCACAGAGAAGAGAGTGAGTGCAACCCGAACCGGCCAGTTCTTGATCGGCAGTTTTAGGGCGGAAAGAAAACAAATTTCGAGCTGCAAAATGTGTTCTGTGTAGTTGGGCTCTTATGTCATGTACAAATAAAAACCTTGGCAGGCACAAATACCCTGTCAGTGTGCCTTTAATCGAGGAAACATAAAACTGATCCAGTGTGCAATTCCGAAGTTGGACGATTAAAAAACAGTATTCATAGCCAACCAAATTCTTTGAATGTTTAACGTAAAATAAAAATTTAGAATGTGGAAAAAAAAACAATTTTTGTTTTGCAGAAGGTACCTTGTTTGTAAAAGTAATTTGGAATAGGTCATATATAGGAGCTCCTCAAAACTTTCTGAATACGGTGAAGAGGAATCCTTTCACACTCGAAAAATCCTCACAGTAAAAACAAATTAAATATATTCACCATATTAGTCACAATCTATCAGTATCAAAAGAGAAACCCTAATGGGATTTCAAAAAAGCCGAAAGAAAAGGGGAAAGGGGTCAAACGGAACCCGCACTTCCATGATCATAAACTTCAAAGCTCAAAACCCCCCAAACCTGAAGTTTGGGCCCCCTTCCTAATAAGTTTCTCGACTACGAACAAATGCTCTTCCCCATTCAGTGTTTTTTAAATCGAATCAATACGACGTCTGTCGATTTCAACACATTAAAATTTTACGACGCCTGCTGGTCTGTTAAGAAACCTCGAAAAGAAAAAAAAATGTTTTTTTTTTTAAACAATCTGGTTGGGACACGCATCTCAAAAAATTAATTTTATGTGAAAAAAAAAACTTCTTTAGAGCAATAAATTTTAACAATAAATTTTAAAAAACTAAAAATGTTTTTTTAGAAAATTGACTTTAAAGTTGGTACTTTTGGTTTTTACATAACATTAACGTCAACATACCGCAAAGGGAATTTTACACAGCTAAGTGATTTTATAATATATGAAAATAATGTGTTTTAGGCTCTCCATCAACATAAAAAATGTTGATGTAAACCAAGTGGATCATAAGCATTTACTTGTCAAAGTTCATCAACAATTATCATCAACATATTTAACAGTTTTAGAAGAAAAAAAAATGCCTAAAATTATTTTAGGCATTGGAGCCTTTTAACTGTACTCACAGAGTGGTTAAAAAAAGTTACTATAATGCAGAATGAAAATCCACAGCAGGAGATTGGGGGAAACATACGACCCATGACGGATTTGAAAAACACTGCTTTTCACAACGGAGTCTTTGAAACTTCATAAGTCGAGAACAAAAAATCCGATGAACTTGCGGTTTGTGGCAACTGTGTTTCTAGAGACGACGCCATAACATATATTTTTTTCAGAAAATTAAAAATTAAAAACTTTTTTTTTATCTTGCACGATTTGATGAAATCACCCATATATGTGTGTGTGTGTGTATGTGTGTGTGTGTGTATATATATATATATATATATATACATGTTTTTTGTTGTTTTTCTTTTAATTATTATTTTATGGCTCCTGGAGAAAAATGATGAGCTAGACTTGCAGCAGTTGACAACCGCATTGAAAAGTGCCAAAAACTAGGCAGAATTAGAATTCTATTGATTGCAATTTGTTTTGTGCATTATAATAGCCCATTATATGTCTCCCCAAATTCAGATACATGTATACCTGTAGTTTTACAGGTACATGGCACCAGGGGTTTTCCCGAGAATTGAAATTACAGGGGGTGTCTAAATTTTTAGGGAGGGGGGGAAGTGGGGGTTAGGGGGGCATTGCGAATAAAAAAGTCATTGCGAATTAAGGGGGTGCCTTCAGGAAAACAAGGGGGGTGCCCCCTAGGGGTGTGTAGGGAAATCACTACATGGCACCCAACCGTAAAAATACCTGTATTTTTATGGTTGGGTGCCGAAGTGGACCAGTATTACTAGAAGAAGAATGCAGAACAAGAGAGACAAATAGAAAAACACAGCCAAACAGCAAATGAATATGCGAGAGCATTAATATGTGATTTAATTTCTCATACTGCCTTTTTCGTTGCAATTTTTTTTTGTTCCTTTTTTTTCACTTTTTTTTTTACACTGTACCACTATGGCTGTCAGTCAAGAGCCGCAATATTGCTAAATAAATAAATATGTCCCATGAATGAATTGTGTGTAGGCTGCACTGCAACTATTCGTCAATTCCTATGCACTAGAATCAAACCAAGTCCGAATGTAACCCGACCGTTCCCTTTATCCAAATGAAAATAAAGACAGGTTGTTCAATATTTGTTCCAAGTGAAACTGGGAAGGAAATTCACTCTTTCCAATCAAGCGAAGCATGCTCATTTCAAAATTTATGCAGGCACAAATAAATTCTATGTGAGCTTTTGTAAGTACAGTAAATACAGTAAATATTTCCATGTCTAAGACTCTAAGACATATCAAGTTTTCAAAAAATATTCAAATATTACCATTAGGCTCGAAGCAAACAAAATTTAAAGCATATCATCAAAAATTCTACTATTGGCACGACAACCTTCCATTACTACTTTCAATGAAAGAAGGAATTTGTGACTAGAAACCAAAAGTTCAAGACCTCGTTCAAAGTCCACCACGTTGACGGCACTCATGAGCAGGGCACTGTTGTTTTCTGTGTACTCAACGAAGACCAGGAGCAACTTCAGAGCCGTCTTCACCACCAGGCGGTACTAAGGAACACGTACGCACATAAAACAAGGAATGTTATACACTTTGACAAAGGTAATGCTCAATATGATTATATTTCCTGCACATCCTTCTGGTAACCTAGCTTAACCTAGCCCAAGTATACGGACTACACTGACCAGCAGATAACCAAGTGCAATAAGCTGTAAAGATTAGCAAACATTTATGTACTATTCTGGGCTGTGACACAACTTAAAAGGCTGAAACACGTGTGCGAAAAACCAACCGAAAATCACAAACTTCTAAACATGGAAAAATCATTCCGCTCCATATTCGAAAAACATAAATCACAAATACAGTTTTCTTAGAAGCATATATTTGAAATTTCTGTACAATAAAACCCAACTTTTTTTTTTGTTGTTGTTTTCTTCTTTTTTTTTAAGAAAATGGTGTAGAATCTTTTTTTTAGTGTTCCAAATTTCGTGCAGTTTTCAATTGGTATTTCGCACATGTGTTCCAGGCCTCACTATTGTGCACTAATCCAGGAATATTTAACTTCTTAGCAAGTTAGGAACAGCAAAAGCTGCACAACTGTGCAGTTGAAGGAAGGGGATATTTGAGCACATCACGATCAGCACATTTGCTTCAATACCTCGGAGGCCAGACCTGGGGATTTTAAATGTGATGCTCATGTAGTTGTGCTCCAAAGCAATGCTCATAAGCTGTGTTCTTCATCAAACGTGTACTTATATAATTAATAGTGTGAGAAAGAGGGAGAAGGGGAGGTTTACTGATATTTCAGAAATTTCTTGAAAACATTTCAGAGGGAAAAAAATCTTCCCTCCCTCCCCCCTCCAAATCAATCTTCCGGACATTCCGACGCAAGAAACATAGTGCAGCGGATTCTAATTCACATGTATCTGTCCTGCCGAGTTTTCACGACTGCTCATACGGTTCATGTTAAAAAGCAAGAGCAAACAAGTCCACAGCCAATATTATAACAGCACCATAAAAGAGGAGCCAAGCAAGTTCTCATGTCACAGTAAATTGAAGTCTGCCAGTTGGGGGTTAGCTACAGTGTAACTACCGGATAGTCCGGGGCACAGTACTACGACCCTTTTTAAAAACAACACTATATGCAGCACCTCCAGGGTTATTAGCGTTCAAGCTGCATCTGACAATCACGCGCACACGGAAGTCACGCGCTCGTTTCAGCAACTGGGGGGAAAACTCCACACAACACATCCAAATAAAATCCTCATTTTTTTTATCTACTGGAAATTGTTTTCGGGCATACCCGAGTGTGTGCGTGTTCTTACGATGGACTGCAAAGGGCGCTACCAGCCATTGGAGCCAATCAAATGACGTGTGTCACGTGACCTTCGGTTGGAGTGTAGCAACACGCAGTCACGTGGTACGTTCACAGCGCTGAATTGGCAGGGATGGTTTGCAGAGTCTGGTGCGGTCAATCGTAAGGTAAAACTTGGTATAATAGTGTTTCTTTTAAATATATATATATATATATATATATATATATATATATACACATTAGGCGTGCCCAAGAGGCTTGTGAGCGAGTGTTTTTCCGCCGTTGCGTCACGTGGCGCGGAGACAAGTGCCCAGCCTCCAGACTCAGGCAACACAATGCAGATGGTACAGGGGACAAGACAAATAGTAGTATAATAAAGGGACACTCACCCATCTATAGTACTGAAAGCGTTAGAAAGAGAGAGAGGAAAAAAAAAAAAGAGGGTTCGTTAATGATGCGTTCACAAATCAAACAGCGCATGCAAGCCGCGTCAATGAAGCACGTGCGAGTCACGCTTTTTTCCAATGTATTATTAGAGCTTAGGCAAAACTGGCGCGCAAGGCAAGCGGCGGCTCTTCCCGGAAAAGGGAGAGAGGGATGCACCCAGCTGTCAGCCAAATATTGGCTAATCTTTTTTCTCATTTTCCGTTTTTAAACGTGCCGCAAAAAGTGTGACTGCAATGTCATCGTTCTTTGTTCACCTTCTGTTTAAAAAGCGAGAGGGGGAGAGAGAAAAAAAAAGGAGAGGAAGGGGCTCAAGGACACACAACAGAAACCTTGCAAGTCATTGCCTCGCAAAATTGAAACGAATTAAGTTAACTCAACGAACTGGAAGTTTAGGTTCCGAGAAGCTCAAACACGATCATCACTCGTCCAACTGGAACGCCGCAAGAAGAACGACCGACAGAAAATGACAAAAGAGAGAGAGAGACGGCGCGATAACTGCCCCTCGCGGTGGCTCAGAACGGGTTCGAAGACCCGACTAAACCAACCAGGCGACAACGACGCAATGAAAAAGACGAGCGCAAAGGGGCATGTCGAATCGCCCGGTGTTTGGTCCCCTTAACCTGCCGCCATAATGGTGAAACCTGGCTGTCGCCACGACCGAGTATAGGCTCGATTTTGTCGGTGGGAGGAAGCCGGATGCATGTACTCGAGCGGCGACCGCGCACTCGAGCACTCGACTGCACGCGTCGGCCTTCGATGCCCGGGCGCGTTGCACAGCACTGCTGACGAAACCGCGTTGAAACAGCATGTTCGGCGTTTAAAAGCCGGGGTCACCGAAGGCCAGACAGAAGGACCCCGATACGAAAAAGCTGGCGACGTCACGCAAGGTCAGCGGATTCGGGCCAAACCTCCTCCGCTGGATCCGTGCAGACTGGCTCGGCAAACGAGTGAACCGATGACCGCTAATGTTGCGCCATTTTTGCTCTTCTTTACCCGTTAATCGTTCCTGTAACGGATCTCTTCTTTGCTACCGCCCGCCGCATTACGGCTCTACGACGGTTGTACCACGGTGCAAGAGGCTTTGGGGTTTATCCCCATCTAAATCTGTCCGAGGACTGCGAGTCCGGAAATGCTAACTACGTCGCTACATCTAAAAAAAAAAAAAAAAAAACACGTTGTTTGGCATTTTTGTTTGCTCTTCGAAGATGCTATCTCTTTCTCGCGGGGAATAATAACTACTATGACCAGTGAGTGAGGTATTGGAGCATACTGTTATCGGTTGTTCTTCACCCACCCACCCCCCCCCCCCCCCCCCCCTTTTTTTTTAAATATAAATTACAAGGGAGGTTGGAGAAAAAGGAAAATAAACAGGCTGTTTCGACCGCTTTGCTTCCTTCCTTCGTTACTTCGAATGACGTCGATTGTGAGGCGTGCGTTAGCCGTTTCGACGCAGGTCCACCCTCCGGAAAAGAGCGCACGTGGAACAGTCCTGACGGCCATGCAGGCACTTCGGATGGGCGCAGCGCAAGTCATGCGGGTTTTTGCACGCTCAGCAGAATGAGGAAGTACTCACCTTGGAGGCGATGAGCGAGTAGAGCCACTGGATGGTCTCGTTGTGCTCTACCACGCCGTTCATGCCGTCCACGTAGAGCATCACCTGTCCCAGAGCTGCGCGCGTAGGAAGGAGCCAAGCAAAACGACCCCAAAGAGTCTATTGTTTCTCGAACGAACAATGCTGGCACTCATCGATTTCGAACGCCCTGGCGATCGGGAAAACGCCATCGACAACCACTCTCAATTTTATTATTATTATTATTATCAGGAGTCCTTCCGCCTCTGGGATATATCCAACTCACGGCCGTTAAGTTACACCTCGCTCAACCGTTTTAAGTGCACTGCTTACTCAAGAAAACAGAAGCCGCGAACATGTTTATGTGATACGTAAGTACCGTAGATGAAGACTAAGGTGGTGCGAGCTTGTTCGTGCATTTTAGTTTATATTGCGTCCACGACTGTAGGTGTATTACGAACAGCGCTGAAGAAAAACTAAGCACACAAACATCCGCCGAGTTTTGTCGTGTTCAGAGTAGGGAGTGTCCAAATAAGGATGTTTCTGCAATCTTTAACGGAGCTTAAATCAAACCCCATTGATACAAAAAAAAAAAAAAAAGTGCGACATGTTTTGGACAGTATCGAGTATGACTCTAGAAATGAGGAAAGCGGAAAGTCTTCGTTTCATAATAATGGTGGTTGTGAGCCTCATAATTCGTTTGTCGTGCAATGAGGTTATTTCGTCCAAATCGAAAGAAGTTTTGGGGAGAGCACCGAAATGTTGTCTAAACATAAAGCCGTCAAAGCGTGATGTATTTTCGTCTATGCAGACTATTGCCAGGAAGGTCAACCCTGATGAGAGAGACTACCATTTCGTAAGTCCAGGTGGTCGCTCAATCGAATGAAACGGCACTTCGTAACTCTAAACATGACTAGCCCCGAGACCGGAAACGATACGACGGGATCAAGGACTTTAGATCAAGGGGCGGTTCCAGAAATCTCCTTGCCCGTCCTTTGAGACCTTTCCCCGATGCCGTCATTTTGGTCTCCTGTCACGGGCCTAAATGTCAATCTTATTTTCTGGATCACGGTTCGGCAAGGACGGAATGAAGAGATGAAGATGGCAATGCACCGGCAATGTGTACTACTCGCAACACGAGGTGAGCTGCAGTTTTGTCCTAGAGTTGTCGAGGCTTTGTGAGCAACGGGCGCGGTGCTTGAAGCGCTATCCATAACATTTAACGTTCGTCACTGCATGCATATAACCGTGTCCAAAGCTCGCCTCTGTCTCCGCGCAGCTGACGATGGAAAAGCTGCGGAGCGCGCCGCTGTGCAGCGCAATGCGTGCTCGCGCGGAAATTTGAGCCTCTCACCTCGGAGGATGTAGTTCTGGTAGTTCTGGTCCGACTCCGAGCCCACCTTGATGAGGCAGGCGAGACCGTCGTTCTGCACGAACTCGTGCACGAGGTCCTTGTCATCCTGGGGAAACGTGGTACAAGAACGAAGCCGTCTCGTTTGGGCCCCCAACAAGACCGTCTTTCCTGACACGCGGTGAAGTGTCGGACGAGTACGTAGTGACCTCCCGGGCTCCCCGGCCCAAACGTGGCACCAGGACACATGTCGACGCCGCTCTTTCACGAATAAGCCGCGGACAGCGTGGCATTACGCGCCTTCAAAATTAAAACAAAGGGGGCTTCTGGGCACCGCGCACAGCTGCTAAGAGTGGTGGTGCGTGTCAAGCAGTTCACCGACCTGGCTCAACAACGAACTAAAACGAAAAATATAGTAAAAAAAAAAAAAAAATAACCATCGAAGTCGCGAAGCCCCGAATAGCGCACTATTTCTGATGTAACGTCCTGGAATCTGCGGGCGACCGAGAACGGCTTGGAGTTGTAGAGCGCCGGATTTGATCGATGCCACTTTCATAAACGCAGTAGCAGCAAAGAAGGGGCGGAGCGCGCTTGGAGGACTTCAAACAGCTGAGGTGTCTCGACGCGATTGTAAACACTGTATGGGGCCAATGACATGTTTATATATAATCCTGCAGGATGTCGGAGCCTTTCGAAGGCGCTGGGAACACGCGCTGGTCGACATTCTCATTTGTTACGCGTGCCGAGTGCCCATCCCCGGCGTGCGCTACGCAGATGCACATTGTTTCCCGGTACGGGAGTAGTCGGAGTAGTGTTGCGAAAAAAAGGTACTGGCGTGAACGCTGAGCCTTGTCACTCGGGTCATGCATAGGCAATGCTAATCGCCCAGTTAAAAATAACCATTGGGTCCAATTAGTTATTGACAATTAGAACCAATGGGGAATCCTATCTGTGATTTCGGACTCCTAGTTAGAAAAAGTCAATTGGTTCCAATTAGTTGTCGACAATTAGAACCAATGGGGAATCCTATCTGTGATTTCGGACTCTTAGTTAGAAAAAGTCAATTGGTTCTAATTAGGTATCGACAATTAGAACCAATGGGGAATCCTATCTGTGATTTCGGACTCCTAGTTAGAAAAAGTCGATTGGTTTCAATTGTCGAAATCTAATTGAACATCACCAATTCGAACCAGTTCGGCATTGTCAATAGGATGCAACCAATTGGAAAAAACCTATTTCTGTTTTCGGACTCCCAATAGGAAAAAAGCAATTGGTCCAACTGTTCAAATCATATTGACAAATACGAATTGGGACAACCATCAGTGTTTGGATATCCCAAACTAGAAAAAGTTGCAACTAGATCTAAAGGTAGATAATCACACAGTCTTTATTTAACTTATTAGAAATGATTTCTTGCTTCTAGGCATCGTCGTTTTCTTCCAGGATAGCAGCTGCAGCTTCCCTAAAATAAAGGATAAATATGCATTAAATGACATTATGGGATTATAAATGTTTAAATCAAGCTTAGAAACATACTAAACTTTTTTTTTCGCTGCAAAGAAATTAGTTGCAGTGGTATAAACCTGCAGGCCTTGCATTAAAAGGCAAACATCCCTGGGTGACTGAAACACTCTGGTCAAAATTAGGAGATGAAGCTTTTGCCGAGACTGGGCTAAATTTGCATCTGGGATGGTCTAAAACTACTAAGTTTCCTATGAGCCTGTGAGACATAATCTCTGCTATAAGGAGAAGAAACAGCCAATTCAAAGGCATCTCTGTAAAGCTGGCCAGTGCACCTGAAATATGCTTAAAGTGTGCAGGGGTGAAAAAATAAGTGTCTTTCATATCTCGAAAAGAAATCATGCATTGCAGGCTGTGTTCCAAATCTTACTCGAATGGATCAGAGGCAACGCAAGACGCGGGTAGGTTTTTGAACTTACCCTGAGTGAGACAGAGTAAATTTTGAAACATAGCTGCAAATAGTCCGCCGGATGAGATGCAAAATTTTCGGCACCTACTGTTATTTTATTACAAGTCATCAACTTCCAGAAGTAATGACCCGACATCACCGACCAACCGACCCCCCCACCCCACTTATCGAACATTCCCCCGAAATTGCTTAATTTTGAATCCCAAAGCTTCAATTTTTGAAACTGTGCCCAGTCAGTGTTTTCAGCAATTCATAGTTCAGTTTTGAGATGCTTAAAATGCACTTAACTTTCCTCGCGGATACCCAACAACTTCCGAACTGATAGCTGCCCGGAAAATTTTCTTCTCTAAAGCTATATATTCACGCTCGCATCGTTCACTGAAGATCAAACAACGAGTGTCTCAGCAGATCTAACAATCCGAAATCCCAAAACTGCAGTGCAGCAAGGACAAAGAAAATTTCTTACCTTGCTCCCATAAACGTTTGTTGCCACTCATTCGCGCTCTAACAAGCTGGCAGGTCAAATGAAGTAATTATCACCGCACCATTGAGCACTCTGCAGCAGTAAAACACAATAGAACTTTCTTGAATCATTGCCATAACCATGCTACGAATGCCGTACACGCCATCGGTGCCATGTGCTTCATGCTTCCTCCGTCCTCGAGGCGCCATCTTTGCCGCCCAGTGTACACCGACGCTGCCGGCAATTCCGACTAATTCTAGAAAGAGATTTTTTTTTTTTTTCGTTTTTTTTTTATTAAATAGCGTACGAATTTTTTTCCTCTTTCAAATGCGATGTTGAAAAAATTTTTTGCAATGCAATACTGAAAAAAAAAAAATTAATAATTGCGATCTTTGGAAACTTTGTGGTGAGCAAAGAGATAATGGCAAGTTCTGTCCCAGTGCCAATTGAATTTTATTGTTCCCAATCGGAGATCAATAAAATTCAATTGGAAACATTGAAAACATAAAGTTGGAAACATTGAATCCAATCAGAGTGACCAATTAGGTGACCCAGTGCCAAATGAATTTTATTGATCCTAATTGGGATAACCAGTTGGAAACACTGAATCCAATTGAGTGACCAATTAGGTGGCCCAGTGCCAACTGAATTTTACCAGTTGGAAACATTGAATCCAATTAGAGTGACCAATTAGGTGGCTGAGTGCCAATTGAATTTAGTTGGTCCTAATTGGGGTAACCAGTTGGAAACATTGAATCCAATTAGAGTGACCAATTAAGTGGCCCAGTGCCAGTTGAATTTTGTTGTTCCTAGTTGGTGTAACCAATTGGAAACATTGAAACTAATTAGAATGACCAGTTGGATGACCCAGAACCAATTGAATTCCATTGACTCCAGTTGGTTCCAATTGAATATCCTAATTGGAGTCAATGGTTATTTTTAACTGGGCGGGATGTTTGCGTTCATTTGTTTTGTGCAAAAAAAAAAAAAAAAAAAAGAGCGGGGGGGGGGGGGGGGGTCCGACCGTGGGTGTTCTTGATCAACACATGCCTAACCGTGTATCACGGACACGAGTGTTTTCAACGAACTATCAGGTTCCGCGTCGCGCATTGCTAACAAATAATCGTGTGGCTATTTTACGAAACGTCGCGGACTGACAAATGCGCCATTAGAACCACGCACACTGTGGCACCACGTCGTCACGGTGCCCAAACAGAACAAAAAAAAAAAAAAAAAGAGATCGGGAAATTGATTGAAAGTAAGTTGGCCTACTTTATCCGGTTTGCTACAAGAGATCGGGATCCGTCATTCAAAGCACGTTCGATGTAAACGGTATCCCATCATGCTTGCACGTGCCCGTGACGTCGGCGCGTGGGTGGTCGGTACTGCCGGTACGATCGGTCGAAAATAATTCGAACCAGCTATCACTGTTCGAGGCAGAAGGGGTCACAAAAGCCCATGCGACGTCAAAGCAACAATGGTACGGTGCACACACTCACACAAACCCGGCGATCGGCACGTCTACAGTCGAAATCCGCCCACCTACCGATAGATCGACCGCATAAACTACGCACTGCAGAAAGCTGCAACTCTGTCAGAATATGGCGCTCGCGCTGGGAATACGCTGGAAAAATGTTGAGAACACGATGTAACCTGGATGAAAAGATGAAAGAGAAAGACGAAATTTCTCTATGAGCCGACGTCCACCCTAATTTCGTTATGAGTCAGCAAAAAAGAAATCTGTCATAACGCAGCCAGAATCTTTAGCGTCGTCGTTATTCACTGGTTCCTCAGTCGTGACAACAGAAGGTCACGTGAAAATAGAGGAGAATATTGCAGCGTTCCGAAACACGTATTCATTTCGTCTTCGGGGACTGAATTCATAACAAAAACAATGACTCTTGCTGACAAGTTTGTTTTACTGAAATAAATGCTTGTGGCGTTTATTTTTTCGTCCAGGTGGCGTCATGATCTCGAACTTTCGCACCCTATCCCCACCCAGGCACGTAGCTAGGGGGGGGGGCATGGGGCCGCCCCCCCCCCCCCCCCCGAAATTTTCCATTTTGCTGGGACCTTTTCTCCCCCCTTCCCCTCATACAGCATTTTGTCATGGGCGCCCCCCCCCCCCCCCCTCTCCCGAAACAAAATCCTGGCTACGTGCCTGTCCCCACCGCTAGCGTCATATCCTGAAAAAAATTTCAGCTTCCTGCAAAGCGACGGTCATGGCCCCCCCCCCCCCCCCCCCCCCAAAAAAAAATAAATAAATAAATAAATAAATAAAAAAAGATCAGGTTTTAATTTTTGGATAATTCAGTAGAAAGAAGACACAGGTAAGCCAAAATAATACTCGATGAAACGTCAGGCCCGAATCCAGGCCCGGTGTTTCATCCGTACCACTGTCGGTCGTCAAGCGGGCCCTTCTTGAACCCTGGCAAAATACGAGAATGCGATACTCGCGAGCTTACCTGGAAGATCTGCTTGAGGGAGAAGAGCGCTCTTCGCAGTTCGCGGCCCGTCGAGTTGAGCAGCTTCTCTGTTGTCAAAAAGAAAGAGACGAAAGGCTCAGACGACAATCGCTGCGCTTTGAACGTATGCGGAGCGCAAATTCGTCTGCTTCTTTCGCAGGGGTTGTGGTGACGTCAGAAAGACGCCGAGCTCTGATTGGCTCTGAATGAAGGATAGTGGGTAGACGTCAAAACAGCCTGCTTTGAGGACTACACCCACTATTCTTCAACAGAGCCAATCAGAGCCAATCAGAGCCAATCAGAGCTAGGCGTCGTACTGACGTCACCGCAACTCCTGCGCAACAAGCAGACGACTTGCTCTCCGGAGTTTTCAACTCTAAAATATAAGCACGCTGAACCATGCAGCAGATGAGACGCAACTTTGGGTGCCCACACTCTAAAAAAAAAAGCCAGTGCGTCTACTTTCCCGCACAACACTCGGAGAGCCAATCAGCGCAACTTACGGAGGCAGCTCAACGAATGACGATGCCGAAACATATGTTTAGACCAAAAAAACGCAGTCTGAGTTGTGACATTAGGCAATGCAAGCGTGACGTTCTGCATTGCTTCATGTCACAACTCAGACTGCGTTTTCTAGTCTAAACATATGTTTCGGCATCGTCATTCGTTGAGCTGCCTCTGTAAGTTGCGGTGATTGACTCTCCGAGTGTTGTGCGGGAAAGTAGACGCACGGGCGTTTTTTTAGACTGCAGCCAACACAACCTAGAATAATCAAAGCCGGTGCACTAGAATTTCGACGTCATCGCCAATGGGATACGAGTGCTGCGTCAGTGCTCGGCTGGGCCTCGTGTCCAATCAACGCGTCGAAGGACATTCGGCATCACGCTCGGGTCCAATTGCTGAGAAGACGCTACGCGACTGCGATGACGTTCCATGCAACAGGAGGGAGATCTTCGCAGTAATTGATTACCCGGGGTGGTGTTGGTCCAGGGCATATATCACATTTCTGACCAGTAATTCGCTAGGCTCCTTAATGAATGGCTGACGCTGCGTGTGCTTCGCAGAGAAGCATACCTGCTGGCGTTTCTCGCAAAGTATACCACATAAGACAAGCCACACCACTGCCGTGACGCAGCCCGAAGAAATGTATACGCAATCAAATGCCACGCGTTTGTCTGGTCGGGTGCCAGTCCCGGGGAGCGTATAACCAGCCCCGATGATAGTACTTTGCCACCGGAGCACGACGATCACTGGAATCCTCGAAAGGCCAACACCGCAATAAGTCAAGCTAGCAAAAGTGCTCAGGCGGTAGGGGGGGCCCTTTGCGAGCGCGAGGGGATCCCAAGATATCTGCGCGAGAGTGTGCTTCTCCCCAAGCAGGTGTTTGCGTGACGGAGTGGCGGGCAGGCGGGAAGCCCGACGCCGTTGAAAGGCGTCTGAGTGGAACCAGGGCCCCGACACCCGCCGGGACATTGGCCTCGCCCCGCGCGACGAAGAAAAAGCTCCGGGAGCGCAATAAGTCTGCGGCCCTGTAGCGGCTGACAGCGGGGCAGCAGCATTCGCTCTTTGTCTGTCTGGCACGCAAGAGCAACACCGCCCGAGGCCTCTATTTTCGAGCGCGCGCTAGCCCGCCATCGCTCAGCCGGATCGAGACGTCTCAGCCGAACTGCCACACCGAGATACAACTTTAGCCGGGCCCGGATCATCGGCCACAAACGCTCGCCGTCTCATTCGCCTCTAAATCGAGCTATGATCGGCTTATAAGCAGTCACTCTCAGATGCTATAGATGACGTTTGCTCAATGACGAACCATGCAGGTGTCACGCGCCACGTGTAGAGCCAGGACTGCGATATGATTCACAAGATAAGATTTTTTTATTGTTTTTTTTGTTTTTGTTTTTTGCGAATGGTGGATGTGTTTAGCGTTAGTGGGACGTCCTGTGCGATTATGGGCACCGATCGTAAAAGCGATTATGGGCACCGATCGTTTGCATCAAGCTAACTATAACTGCGACCATACAAAGTTTATACGGCTATACCTTAATTTCAGCTCGACGTTACCCGGCGAATCTATCCTTCAAACAGGTAACGACTACCGCCCTCTGCGCTTACGCGAATGAGCGCCGGGCATCAACGTGACTACGTCCGAGACGTCCGTTGTCCGCCGATCCGCGTTCTAATGGCTCACTGACATCTTTAACTCGCTTCGCTGAAAGTTTCCATGCAGATCCAAAGTATACCCGAACAAATTAACGCGAGAAGCGTTCGCAATCGCGTCAGCGCCGTATGCAAAAACCGGGATTAACGCTGTCCAAACCTCTGCCGATGTTCGTCGACGGCGGTCCTTGGGTCTCAGTGGGGGAGCTCGAGAGACGCGGCCCAGTTACTGCAGCCCGGTTGGCTCGGCCCGACTTTGCGTCGCGTTGGCACGTCACAGCATGGCCGATGCCCAGGAGGGAGCCGCGCTTTGCGCCGGCTCCCTCCTCGGCATCGGAACTCCTCGGCATCGGCATCAAAACTGAAAATCTCGACCGTCGGTTAATCACCGATCGCCGTCGCGTTCGCGACGAGAAATTAAGCCCTGCGTTCGCAGAAGGATGCCAGGATTTCAATATATTAGCCGTGCAAGTCGACCTCGTTTGCAGTGCTCAGATCAAAATCCCCCAAAAGCACCCGTTCGCAAACGCGTTTTTTTTTTTTTCTTCTTGTTTTTAGATGTGCACGTTATCGGCGACGTGCGCCACCAAAAACATCGCCTTCCACGATCACCCAAACTCCCACTGTGACGTCTTCAGTATGATCAATTCAACTTTTATTAATTGACCCCCTAAGTGATGACGTCACAAGATGGCGCAGCGCTCCAAACAAACCGGTTAAGGCCGTTGCTATGGACAAATACACGGGGGCTCGATGTGAAGTTAGAATTTGTCTGATAAAAAGGTAAATAAATCTTTGTACGCATTATGTCTTCTCAATATCTAATCATGAAGACTTTTTTTTTTGTTGTTGTTTTCTCGGTTGTTATATAGCAATGATAAAAGCCCGTAATGAAGTATCACAACCGGTTTCGCCTCGCTAGCAGACGGCACGATGCTTCGCGGGTTCAATGGTTCTTTCTGAGGGAGCTCGCGACTCGTTAAATTAAGTTGGTAACGAAGCCACGAAAACTTCTCTCGGGGTCAACTTTCTTGGGGATTTTGGAAGCGAAGAGTGCCCGTCCACAGCTGTGATCCACACTCGAAGCCAACTTTCTGGAACGTTCCGTGTAATGAAACGTTTTCAAGGAAATATCAAAATTATAATTGAGTTGCGTTCTATGATAACCAATCAATTACAGTTCTCGGAAACATTACGATCTTTTGTCAAGAAAAGCAGGCATTACTAATGTTGTGAATGTGGCCCCTTAAAAATCAATGCAAAAAAAAAAAAAAGAAAAGAAAAACCGTTATAGGGCCGTAAAATAAAAACTATACGCATCGAAAAGTTTCATTACCGCTTATTGATGTTTTATGACTGTCATCTAAAACATTTCAGGGGAACATTGCGATGTCTGTTCTTCAATTGAAATACTAATTTTAGTGCATACTCCGAGGCGTCGATGTCCCACAAAGTTGGGAATGCCTGCCCGTGGAGGCTTCCGCAATATTTGAGAAGGGAAAACACTGTGAAGCCGAATCACGCACAACAGCGACGTAAAGTTCATTCGCAACTTTCACAGCCTATCTAGGGGCCGCCTTGGTTCCTATCAAAATGGCTGTCACCTGGATGATAGTCGTAGAGAACAGCGGAACGAGGTTCGGCCTGTGACGCGTAAGTAATTCAAATTCTGTGAAATACGAGCGATGTGAGAGCCTTACGTCATACTTCCACGTCAAGAATGTGTAAGCAAGCACCTTTATTGTGAAGCCGATCATCCAGGAGCTAGGAAGCGCGATGCTCACATCGCGGTACCATCATCGCTGAAAGTTGTTAAGCAACGTCGAAGTGCAGGCCAGCACACGTTTCAATGAGTTCTGATGGCACAGAAGTTGCATCAGTGAACATTTGTGTGATCAGACGAACTGTCCCTAACAGACATATAATTCATCTGACGTATTTATCCAGGTCTTTCGCTATCTGGGGTCTTAGTAAAAACAAAAAAAGTCAGCAGTATTTTTTTTTTTTAACCTTATTGGTGTGACGTTTACAAAACGGCTACGAAACACACACACACCTATAGTGCGAGCCCGAAAAACGAAGTCCGGGGTCTCGAGCCGATTATGTTAGAGTCAAAATAATTGTTCCTGCAAAATCAAAAAGGGGGCCTGGCTATACAGCCCGACGCTGCTTTGATATCATGTACTAGACAGATGCTTCTCTCGTTGTATTTTTAGCGAATTTTCATACGAGTGATGATTTTCGTCAGACAGCATTCCGTATCGTAGGCACATACAATTCGTTTTTATAAACCTGATGAGTTTCCTTGGACCTGCCGTGCTCCCAAATTTACGATCGCAATCGTATCGTTATGCAAACGATTCAAACTGTTGCAGACGGCATACTTCAGTCATTCCGTCTGCGTTCGTCATGCGTTCGTCGTCTGCAGCAGGCATTTCGAAACGTCTCGCGGACCGGAAGTTGCGGTCGCAAACATTTCAGAAACAGCCGATTCTCGGCAAGCTTCTGTCGTAGTAAGTCTGAAATCTAACTTTCCTATATCTATTATTTTTAGACGTTTAGATTCTACGTCCGATTTTTGAGCGATCGTTATGGCGGAGCGAAATCCAGTCCCCTGCATTCGTCCATAGCAACACCCCTAGCAACGGTTTGTTTGGAGCAGTGACGTTAGTCACACTTACGGGCTCAATGGAGATAAGAGGAATGCCGGACTGTCAACACGTCGACCATCCGCCGTGTTTTTTACGCACACCGTCGAAACTCCCATGGGCAATTGATAATCCCGGTCGTGACGTCACAGACAGGAACCCTCTCGTCGCTTAATTGTCGCCTACCAGCGCGAGCTTCCTATACCTTCGATAGCGCTTCGGCGTCTTGCGAGCCTCGAGCGAGCACGACGGAAGGCAACAAGCACGCGCCGGAGGCTGGGCATTCGAAAGAGACGCTCCGCGCTGTTCTCATCCCGCCGTGGCTACGGACTGGTAGCGAGATGATCAAAGTTGGTCACGCCTGCCACCGTGATTCCAAATCGACGGCACTACCTAACCGAGACTCCTCTCTGAATGCAATTAAAAAAGAAGAAAAAAGGTTCGCCGCCTCGATGACGCGCACGAAACTGTGGTTGCTCGAAAGCCCGTTGACGGAGCGGACTCTCGCTGCAAGACGGATGGCGCCAATGAAGGAGCCGCGGCCGCCGCTACTCACCGATGATGGCGTGCACTCGGACGGACAGCTGGGTGCGGAGCAGGACTGCATTCTTCCGGCTGCGGGAAGCAAAGCAAGACGACTCAGCCTTAATGGGGACACCCCCGAACGCTCTACGTCATCACCCGCGTCTGCTGCCCGTAAGCAATGCACTCGGAAAAGAGAGAAGAAAAAAAAAAAAATACCGGAGCGTCAATTACACCAGCGGGCACGCGGAAAGCACTCGCAGCAATCCAGGAAACTGGCGCAGATCGACTTATTTAATTCCAGAGCGAACCGTCCCACAATACCCCCAAAATGTGATCACTATTTACTGGGACACCGCGACCGTGACATTTCGCGTCCCCACTGTCCCGGCGCATGACACATCTGTTCATTATTATCTCTCTCTCTCTCTCCATTCATCGCAGTGATCGGCCCTTCGTGCGCGCTCAGCGGAGAAGTAGACATTGCGAGTAGCAGCTCTAAACAAACTCGAGCACCCGACGCAGCATGTTTCAGGGGCGTAAGCAAACGAGTTCTTGTGCCCAATCACAGTCGAGAGCGATCGAATCAACGGAAAGACTTCGAATGCGTTCCGCTTTGCACGCGCGCGCTCATCTTCGCGGTCAGCATGCGCCGAGAAAACAAAAAGGACGCGTCGACAGCGCGAAGCAGGAGCGCGGGGCAATGCATAACAATGGCGCACGAGAGACGCACAACAACAAACGGTCGGCACGACCTCGAGCGGACACCTTGGCGGGCTGTTTTACAGCCGGGTACGTTCCCACCAAATTCCTGTTTTTCCTTTCAGGAAAGGGGGGGGGTCAACTCCCTTTGACGAGAGGAAACGGCGGCGGCGTCTCTGAAAGACTTGGCGTCCACGATCGGGCCCCGCCCCGAAAGCAAACCCCCATAAAGTCTGGACGTCCAGCCACTCCTCCGCCTCCGCCTCTGGTGCAACAACACGCATGAACCCGCGCGCGCTCACTCGGGCATACTGACGCGTGTATGGGCCGCAACGCGCCTGTATTATACAGGGGGATAATACGTGGCGCCTCAGCTACGGATGTATTTGATACCGCTTCTTTCGTTTGTTTCAAAACGGATTCGGCTGAGAAGTGGCGGAACGTAGACGGGGGCGCCTTGTTTTGACGTTCGTCCTGGCAAGTTCCTCCTTTACGTGATGGCGAGCGAAGCGACTCTAAAAGATGGCACGATCGAAGCACGCGGGCGCACGTATAGAGAGGCGGAAATGACCGAACCGAGGTTATCTTACTGTTGGCTTCTTTTCTCTCCCCGCCCACTCTTGTAGCAGAAGCGAGTGTGCAACCGCGATCCCATACTGGCGCGTTTATAAAAAGTCCGATTTATTATATATATATATATACATTTAAAGCTTTCGAACGAAAGAATGGTACACGTCTGGCACGCGATAAACACTACCGAAATGCTTTCGCTTTGTTCAAAATATTTCTCAGCACGCAAAATTAAACGGGACGCGATTACGCCATTTTTATTTCATATTTGTATGACCTCCACATTGTAGTAAGCAAGAGTGAATAGAATTCCACTAGAAATGGAGCCTCAACTCGAGCCCACTATAAACAAATCCGCCTGGTCCTTGGCATCGATCCCGGGACCTCTCCATAGTTGTTGCGAATAATATTCAGCTCGCGAACTTGGACACCAAATGTGAGGGTTGGGCTATCTTCGTTGCATATTTGTTATACTGACCTATATGTTATAAACCCCGGCCGAGGTGCCCGCAAACTGACGGGCGCTTATTGCGTAGAAAGGCGCCGTGTAACCGAATTTTCGGTTATACGTGAATTTAGACCTCAGGTGGTCTAAATTAATCTTCAGTCCTCCGCTGGGGCGTGCCAGATGCCCTTCGTTGGTTTGGCACGTAAAACCCTTAAATTTACATTATAAGTCATAACTCACCGCAGGAATTAATTCTATGAGCTGCGCGCGTGGCTGTTCACCGGAGGAAATGTGCACATCCATGTCGCAAGAGCGCGCTATTCCCCGCTGACTGTAAGAAATAGGTTGGAGACTCTGATCACCTCTGAACGCAGAAGCTCCCGTGTCGTGTTTACGAGCACGGCCCTTTCTAATAGGCCACTCTTTCTAGTGAGTGAGCAGCTGAGTCGGTTCTGGGGTCGCGTGTTGCCCGCCATCGCGGGAGGAGGAGGAGGAAGGGAGGAGTGGTGGCGGACGCGCCTTGAAGAAGCGCCTTTCTGGTGGGCGTTCTGCGGGCGCAGAGGCGACCTCCGGGCTACCGCGAGCCCCGTTCCGCTTCCGGCAGCACGCCGCGCGCGTCAAGGGCAACGCCAACAAGTTGAAGGAGGGCGGCCGCCCTAGGTCCGTCGCGGAATGGTGGGAATCGCGTCACGCATCATTTCCGCCACATCGCAAAAATCGCTTCGTTTTTTTTTTTTTTTTTTTCTGGGAAATGCTCGCGTGCCTGTTTCAGGGCGCATCCAAAACAAATGAATGGTCCATCCCCCTAGAAATATGGTTGGCTTGAAGATGCCAAGTGCCCGCGAGGACAACGGACATGACGTTTTCTATGCCGGGCTTTTCTAGAACTCGTAGACAAGAACCCAAATAAAAAAAAAAAAGTTTTAGCCTCGCGCTACCAACGGTATGCTACCGGGAGCCTGACCGCGCTTGCTGTAGCCTAAAATAACAATTTCTATATAATAATAAAAAAAAAAAAACAAGTATTTTAGCGAGTGACGAAGATCAGAATAGAATGAAACGTGAAAAATACTCCGTCCGCAGGGACAAAGAGCAAATGAAAAAAAAAAAAAAAAAAGGCGACGCTCAATGTAGATTCGCCCGCATCGCATCTTTTAGTTCTAACCGTATTCTGAGCTTCGTCCAAATCCCTCCTGCGTGTTCTGCGGCGTGGACGTGAAGCGCAGGCTTCGTTTAAAGATCGCGTACTCTACACCACATACTCGAGTGAAAATCTCATCTTGCCGTTCGCTGTGCTCGGGACAGCTAACAGCATCGATTGGCTATCTGCGTGCTCCGAAGAAAAGCGGACGCGCGAGTGTCGCATACGTGTACCGGCCGAGATTGTGGTGATTGTTTTTATGCTCTCTCTATCGCAAACATGGCACGCGAGTTTTTTTTTTTTTTTTTTTTTTTTAATGCGCCAGTTAAATTGTTAAAAAAAGTGTTGATTTTTTTATTTTAATTTAACACTTCGGCAAGCACTATTTTCGGAGCCACCTTACATATCACCACGTATCAATCGTCAACTAAAAGTTAGGATCCCCTAGCTCAGCCATTGTGGGAACTACTAACACCGCTGATGTTAAAACTGATGTTACCCAATGTGTTAAATTACGTTTCATAGTAAAACATTGTAATTTTTTTTATTTCCAGTATTATTACGCGTATATATGTATCTTAACGTGCCCTACTACTCTCTGCGAGCGGTGCAATCGAACCCTGAGAAAAAAAAAAAAAAAAAAACATATTTGGTGAAACGCTAAAAATATGCAAGCGTCCCCGTCTCGGAACATGCAGGTTTCTTCACGCCTGCGACAAACGGGCCGAATCTGAGGAGTTTGAATCAACCGTCAACGGTTTTAATGGAGCAACATGAAAAGTGGCAGTTGCCAATGTCGGCCGACACGAAATAGACGCACCACGTAAGGAGAACAAAAGAGCCACGAATCAATGTGGGCCATTAATCCAACCGATTCCAGATCAAAAGGAAACATCCCGCGACGGTGGGTCATTACGGCGATTTGTTACGGACCCGGAAACGGCGTGTCTAACAACCGCCTTGACGCTTGAAACGAGAGCTCCACAAAGTGCTTCCAGGCGGTCGGCTACACGCGGTTTAATTTGCACAATGCATTGTTTTCGCCGAACCAGATCAGCCGGAAGGGGCCCAAACAAAACGGAACTAAAGAAAAAAAAGCGCTGAAGCTGTTATTTTTTGAACTGGTTTCCGCGCGCGCTCAGCAGGAACGCCCAAGCATTACACAACCCAGAGGGAAGGCGCCTGGATCCAAACACAGGCGCCTCGGTGGAGTCACCCCGGGCGAACATCCAACAAACGCTGTTCGCGGACACGACAAAAACACCTTGTTGGCGACCTTTGCCACGTTTCCGTGGCACCATTGCAACCGATCATCCTAAAGAGCTTGTCAACAAGCAGCTGAAGTGTGACAAAGTCGCCAAAAAGTAGTTTTGCCAAATTAGGGATTGGTCCCGACAAGCCCAGCGAGTGCCTGTTTGCTTTTTGCTGTCCTTGCTTCCGTTCTTTGGCGTTCTGGTCGGAGAATCATCAGATTCGCGGGAATCGACAACAACAGTCCTCGCCTGCAAGAAATATGGCGGCGCTGGGGTTTGTTTCGGGTGACTCCATGGCGTCGGTTGCCGTAGAGTTCCTTCGCGGTGACGTCTCTCGTCACGGGACGGCGGCGTGTGCCCGAAGCACTCGGTCACAAAGCGGCGTCAAGCAGGCCAATTGTTTCGGAGAACCTGCTGTGGCGCACTGCTCCCGCCCACGTCCGGCCCGGCCCAGCACAGCGGGAGCCTCGCCGTTCAGTCGAATCACGCCGGATCGGACGACGGAACTACTGCACGATGGCAGGCGTTGCGCGGGTCACTTTTTGTTCATATTTTTCTGTTATGTGCACACTGCCGCATGGACAACTAAGAAGCACGGGGCGTGGCAAGCATCGGTCGGAACGTTGAACGAGGCGCGACGATAAGACATCGTCGATGCAGCCACGCCCGGTTCACACGGAGAGAGATGGTTATGCATCGCTCTTTTGTTCGTTAAGACTGCTGTGATGCTCTTACCAGCGGCGCGCTGGCTGCGAACATTCGGAGCTTCCGCGTAAAGCCTTCGTGCAACGGATGCACGGGCGATTCGGGGGAAGTCCATGTCTTCCACTTGCGTGGCTTTGGCCGGAGGAATTCGCCGGGGTTCAGAGACCAGAGGACACTGAGGCGAGCCCCCGTAAAGTTTGTGTGATCGATTCGATAGAAAACCCAGGAAAAAAAAAACAGACAAGAAAGCCGGTCTTGTTAAACGGGGGCCTTA